AGCAAGGTCTTTACTATATTAGGTAATGTGCTTACAGGGTATACCTGGACCTGCAGATAACCAACGGGTCGGGGAAGATAAAAAGACTTCTTGCATGATATATTTACTAAAACAGTAAAATATTCCCTTTCCTTTTAATAATTGAACATGTTTTACGCCGATAGTTATGTAATATACTTAAATAGCATGAATTCCCGTATTAACTAGTTAAATATTTAATAACGCTTTTATAAATACGAAAAGGGGCGGGGCAAATTTATTTCTTTCACAAGACATTTTAGTTGATGGCTTGTTTAACCCACTTTTCCATCTTTTATGTACAATGCTATCCCGTCCGGTACCTGTCTTCTTTTTTATTAAGTATCTAAGTACTTAAATACATTACTTGAGCCTCGTTTTTCACTCTCAACATCTCAAAAGCTTTAGAGACCAGCTTCATAAGCTATTCTCACTATTAAAAGCATAGAAGAGGGGTTGTTTAGCCCGATCGATCCAAGCTTTAAGATCCGTTTACATGCTACTAACAGCATGCCAACCCAGATCTTCGAGCTGCAAAATAAGATACGTCATTACAAACCTAGCGCAAGGGTGGAGTCTCTCGATTTTTATCCTCAGATCGTCAATTGTAAGATCTAGAACTACCTAGGTACTTAACCTATACATATACATAAAGCGCCGATCTTGTCGTAGCTTCCGCATCCTTAGAACTTCAACGTCTACTTAAGATAAACCTAACCTAGGAATTTCTGTATACCCAACAACGCTTTAAAGCTCTTAGGGAATGTGTTTTTTATTCTTCTTTTAATCGCCTCTAGGGCAGACCAAAATATATCCTTTTTCCTTTTGCATGGGCGATCTCCACGATAGCATCTAATTATAAACCGTGCAATTAATAGCTTATCATCCTTATGGTTATATGATATCTTACTTAAACAGCGCAACTACCGGTATCACAGCCTAATATCACGATGCCCTGTCACCTCTTATCAGAAATGCGGCATAACCTAAGACATGCATATGCATGCAGCATGTGATAGCGACGGGATGCCGTTTTGGGCACAAGGTAATTTGAAATTATGGCGTTCTGTACAATCGCGTGCGATATTCCAATATTGAGACGCCACAGAATAGAACGTGTTCCAGAGCTTTTGTTGACTTTTGTGGCAATAAAATGTGGCGGCAGGAAACGCAGCATTTCGATTGAGGAAGCGGCTCGCAAACCCAAAATTAAAGACGGTAAATTTATACTGAGCTCTGCCTTTCATTCCCGTATAATATTTTAAAGCCGCTTCATCCGCGTTAGCCAGGTTAGATGATAATCTAAGGCCACTGCATTACAGCCTTACCAAGGCAGGCCATCAGCGCCTACATGTAAAAATATATATCTTGGCGTATCTATACATGTAAGTAGCCGTTACATCTGACCAGCCTTATGTGATAGCTAGGTACGTACTGCTTCTCATGCAGATCGGCCAGATTATCAGCCAAATTACTACTCAGGTATCCTGCAAGAATAAGCGCCTTCAACGCACAGCCATCATAGATTTTTATAATAACGAAAACAGCTTCGAACCAAGACGCTCAGCTGGTGAAAACTTGCTACCTACTCTTGACCATCGAGATCAACATTGAGACACCGTGTCGACAAATACAGTCGTACGCGTGTGAAATTAAAAAGTCGTACGGGGGACTCGTTTCGGCTTCCAACAGTTAGAGCCCCCAATCGTGCAACTTGGAAGTATCCAGCAGCCCCTATTATTGAGATCGTATTCCTCCACTCTCATCTCCCCAAACGAGCTGTCATCTTAGGCACCGCATCCCGCGCATGCCTACGTCCCGTCGACAAAGTAAGACGGTAAGCTATGACCATCGCATCTGTTCCTGTGACATTGAACACGTGCATCCAGAGAAAACCCCAGGTTCCAGCTTGCGAACCGTGTAGGAACTCCGAATGCCGTGTCTATTGGGTTAGGTACCCAGTTTAGTTGTAAGTGCCCAACCATTCAATCTCGTTCGCTAATCAACGGAACGGCTAAAAATACCTTGCCCGTTCACATATATGTATGCGGTAATAACATACTCTAACCACCCAGACACGTCGGTGTAGTGGTATTGGGAGTTAGCTATAAAAGAGATTACCATCAATAGATAGTTGTGGATCCCACACTTAGACTCTGGCTGTCGAAGTTTAGTGTCAAAAGTAAAAGGAAGAAAAAAAGATATATAGAGAAGGGAGGAGAGGAAATGATAAGAACAGTCGCGGAGTTAGCGTTGCACATTCCTCTCCACAGATCTCCCTTGCGTAACCATAACACGGAGCACGATAGCGCGCCGGCCCTAGCCAATGCGGTTGCCGAGCTATGTTACCCCGGAGCTGCACGAGGCGGTCCCGAACAGTCGGTGAAAGTATCGAAGACTTGGCCGTCCTGTAGCTTGTAATGTGATTATTAGAGGAGCCAATAATGAAGATGCAATTCTTGGCTCCTCTCCTATTTATTATTAGGGCTATATCATAGCACAAGCTTCATTTGTCTTTTGTCTGCGATGGAAGGCTAGCCCGGCAGCCAAATAAGAGCTCGGGCTATATAGCACGTAGAAGCCTTCTTGGGTTGAAATGCCAGAGGCGGAGAACAACTAAATCTGGACTAACACCACGAGTTCCGTGGAAATCGGAGTAGGTAATAGTAAAGATCTTCAAACAGCGAACCACGCGCACAAGTACTTTAATACTTTCTCTTACTACACGTATGAGGCATGTATTGAAGAGTGCAGGCCTCGATCCAACCCAACAAAGTAGCTATATCCGGTAGGCCTGTTCGTACGGTTAGTAATGAAAAAGGGGAGTTGAGCCGAATTTCGATATATGTAATACTGGACCCGCACGAGGACGGTCATGCGTACTACATAGCATGTAAGTAAAAACACGTTGAGCAGATGCCGGTATCGTGAGCTACTGTGCATGCAAAGCCGGACACGGACCAGTTGAACTATTCGATACTTACTATTGAGCGAGACACCCGATTTCTCTCAAGCTCTTATCGATTTCCTATATCGTTCGTCCGGAGCAAAGGTTAAATTCGGCCAACCCATCCAATCCGGTCCCAATTCGAGGAATCGGGCGCCGGCTAGGGGCTGGAACCTTGAGCGTACGTATTATATGATGTCAAGACTTTTGGTGTTGCATTTATTCACCCCTACCTATCGATGTGATATCCAGCATATTCCACCTGCTACATGTTAACCTAGATTAGTGTATACTACATATCCTATATGTACCCCGTCGCGCGGGCAGTAAAATCTGGGGGAACGTACCAGAATACCATGTAGGCAAAACTTCATGCTCTCGGGGTTAAGAGATAAGACCACTCAGGAGATACTCAATAACTCCTCTGCTCCTTTTTAGAGGCAGCATCCCCAACTCGCCTTCGGATTGTCGGTCAGTAAAGGGGATGGTGCACACGTATGGCTTGGTACATTAAGTACCATATACGCAGTATGCTGCCATAGGTATGTACGTCTGATGAGGGGCTGCACGAAGCCATGACGATAGCTGCAGATGTACGATGCCTGGTTCTCTCGATACATAGTATATACATAGCTGATAAGGTACGTGCATTGTGTAATTGGCCTTACTCTATTAATTGAGTCGGAGCCTGAAATGACTCGATTACCCAGTCCCTTGCGTGCGTGAACATGGAAATGTGGAAATGTGGAAATATGGAAATATAGAAATATGGGAACATGGGGAGCTCTAAACAGGTACATAAGATAACCTAACTAGGTTACCTAGATACATGGCTAGTTGCATGTATGTATAGCTTCTAAGGTTGCCTTTATGCAATAGTTAGTTAGTTAATACTATTTACATGACCTTTCGGAAACAATGGAAGGTTCTAAGGTTCTTTATGTACTTCTGCCCAAATCTCGTCCCAGCTTGCCAATTTGCCTGGAATGCATGTATACATACCTACATTCCTTAAATATAGTGCTTACATTACGACATAACATTTGTAACTGCATTTTATAAGTACCGTATACATGTGTCTTCCCTTAGCCACTCAGCCCCAATGGCCAATTCAGAACGTTCTAGGTCGATGCCGACACTACCCACCACTATGTAAAAAGACCACCACTAAAAAAACCCGCTATCTTTTCATTGACCATGAAATGCATGTTTGCAAAGACGAAAGCCACTAAGATGATTACCATTCCAGGTATTCCTGCTCATTCCTACCGCTCCCCATTACTCTCCCACCCACTCCCGGCCTCTCCTTTCTATTTTTTTGGTAACTCCATAGCTCCACTCACGATCCACTTCCCCCACTGCCCGGAGGAGGCCGCGGAGTCTTCAATGCAAACTAGCGGTGCGTCGTTTGTGGCCTTGCGTCGACTTGGGTCCATGGCATCTTTTTGTCACGGGGTTAGAAACGAGCTGGGGTTAATAATACCTGATTCACCAGATTCTGGGTCCCGGGTCGGATCCAACTATTATTCCTACCTGTTATTATTTCTGTCTTTTCATTCTTCTCCTTATTCGGTCGATCACGTTGACGTTAGAAATTATATGTAATTCATTTTACCGCATTTCCTTTATTTCTCTCGCTATTACCTTGCCACTACCCTACCACCCGCTGCTAGCTACACATGATTCCGGCGACTCGGGGCACCTCTACATTGTTACTTGTTCCGGCTTGTTATTTACGTCGTGTGATCACCGGCAACGGGAAGATAGCTCAGAAATGGCATCCGGCGAAGATGAACCGATGCGTGATGCTTCAATTTCCGAAGCCCCTCCTATAGCAAGTCAGCCCGCACCCGCGGTCGCGGCAAAACCCCGCCGTCGGTTTGCTCCCCAGCTCGTTGAGGAATCCGTAAAGTTGTCATCGAACAAAAGATTAGACCTTCCAACAAAAACCTTAACATTGACACCCCCGGATTCGACGGTTAACTCGACTAGGCGACCTACGAGGGACGCTTCGGTTCAAGTGAGCGACATCGAAATGCCTGATGCGCCACCAGTCAAACCCATTCGGCGCTTTGCTCCAGTTCCAATTGAGACGACATTCGACTCGTACAGGGTGAACAACAGTAATAATAGGAAGAATCCCGTCGGCCCTACTGCAGAATTGACACCGGACCCTTCGCCAACATCCCCATACGCACCGGCGTTTCTAGGAGGGGAAAACAAAGAAGATCTGAGGCGATCTGAACAATCGCAAAAGAAACCCAAGAGAAAGTTTGCCCCGCAATTGATTGAGACGACAAGAAGATCCAAAAAGGCAGATCAACCAGGTCCCGCCACCAAACCAATAGATAGGACGGATATCACACCTGGTACAAATCATATATATGCTCCGAAGCCAAAGCGAAAAGCTGCACCCCGGCCTGCCGTTTCAGGTGTATCGAATGCTACCGGCGATAGCGATGGATATTTAACACCACGTCGGCAGCAGTCCATGAAGCCGCATCCCAATACTCGAAGAAGCACGCGACAATCGTATACTCCCGATCTCGATACTATACTATCATCCGAGTCGGATAATTCCGAGGAAGACGACGATGAGGATGCACCAATTATCAACATTGGGGTCCCGGCTCTTTCTAGCGGAAACCCGGAACAAGATGATGACGATGTTGGTGGTGATTCGTGGAGTAGCAGACGCTACCATGTCCGCGAGAGGAGAGAGTCGTGCGACGAGGAGTTCTCGGGTTATCTATTAGCGGTAGCCGCTAGGGAGGCGCACAGACAGCGCGAGCTCGAAGCCGCTATGGCTGCGTTCCCCAACGGTGTACGACCCGAGGGTGTGGAACATTTCCTCGTTAGAGATAATTCCGAGGATGAGGATCCTCTTACCCTAGATGAACGATTAAGACATGGAACCTCACAGCTTCTGCGGCGCAAGGAGTCGGACCCGGGCTGGGCCGTTAAGGAAATGCGAGCCCATGCCGAAAAGCTAGCTCAAATCAACCAAGAGGGGATGAATATTGACGAAGAGTTGGATCACGTTGATATATCACCTCCTCCGGCAGACCCGTTATGGACGACGTCCGTGTTCCGGACATCTCTTGATGAAAATATGAGAGATGCTCCAAGCCCGATAATAAACGCGCATTCACCGGCCCTGCTAGCTAGGGTAGATTCGCATCCTCGCACGTCCTCGCCCGTGGTCCTCCCACCGGAGCCTGGCTTCCGCGCGAGCCCATTCGGCATCCCTTTTGCCTTTCGTAATAATGAGCCCGAAGACCCTCAGATGCGAAAGATGCGCATAGCTGCCTCGCCGCCTATGCTCGGCGGCGGTCTACAGTTCCGCATGTGCCCTAGCCCAAAGTCGACACGTATGGAGCCCAGTCATCAGTATTGCAACCTTGAAAAGCCTGAGCGGCGAGATGCCACAGGGGCTACAGGGCTATGGCGTGGCTACTGTTCTACCAAGGCCAACGACGCTGTAGAGATGACACACCCAGGACCCCATCTGCTCATGACACCGCAGGAGCCAAATTTCCCGCATGACCCTTTTTCCGCCGCTTTTACCGCATCCATGAGTATAAGCGGTGTCATAAGCGGTGCACAGTCGCCTGGGGTTACGTCCCCGACAGGCAGGGGCTTTCATGTACTCTCGGGATTGGACGAACGGCTAAAAAAGGCGAAGGCACGCAAGGAATTCGAGGAGCGCATCGCGGCCGAGTTTGATGATGCTTTCGTCACGCAGGTTTACAATTATCTCAGTCTTGGATATCCCGCTACCGCACGTGCCTTTGATGGCGAACTGAGTAAGATCAGCGGCATCGACATCGTGGAATTGCGCAAGGATGACCACATAAAAATCGAGAAAGGTTTCATGCTGCAAATGGAGATGAGCATCCCCAAGGGTAGTTCAATGACCGAGTCCGACAGCGGCGAGGAGACACCACTACGTACGCCTGAAGAGGACGAGAGAAGAACTCGCAGGAGAGCGAAGCCACCTCGGTGGATTGCACTGAAGCTTTATATACGCGAGTGGGCACGCCAGCACCCCGTTCTTAACGACTCTGGGACTGGCGAGATGGCCTGGGGTGTCAGGGCTAGGAGAGGAAGTTGGGCTATCTAGAGGGAGAAATAGCGGTGCATAGTTTTCATTCTTGCGTAGCGCGGAGTATTTGTTGTGTTTTGATAGCTAGGGGCATCGGGGAGCATGAAGGTCACTTGTTTGGGTACCTTGGGTAGTATAATGGGTTTGGGTTTGCCATAGAAAAACATCACCTGTTCAGGAGGATCTCGGATGTGTATATGATTCGCTCACGGTATAGCAGCCATGGAAATCCAAAAGGAGCGGGGGTTTTCGGGTTTCTCGCATCATTGGGTTGGCGTTATTTGGACAGCGATACTATTTACTGGGCAGACGAGACGAGCAGCGAATTCGGTATGAGTTAGAGAAGAAGCAAATTTTAGATCGGAGCGATGTTATTCGAGAGAGATCCGGTCAAGTATGAAAGCAAGCGAAGACAAAAAACCATCCTTTCATTTCAAGACATTGTGCTTCAAGGTCTATCACGAAATGGTTGGATAGCTGCGCCGTGTACAGGCGTATAGACCTATTTAATAGTTATAATTTATCATAGAGGTTTGCATAGTATTGTAGTAGTGTCTAAAGGGTTTACCCATAAATTCCTTCAAATGTTTCGTTGTTTATGTAGATACCACGACATGGTACGCTACACACGTTCGTTAGACATAACTTGATATAATAGCATGAAAATAATCCTTTTTAATCCCAGATATATATCAATTCTGACATGCTAGACTTACGTAAAGTCGTGCCTATATAATCTAGGTATCGAGGTCAAAGCCCCCTACCTCGTTCTCCTTAATCTAATGACAAGGCACATATTATTCACATTATCATCTGCGGGGTTCAGAGAGTCAGTGCCAGGTTCTCCAAACATGCCAGCCTTCTAAATTCCATCCATTGGCGGGGTAGCTATTATGACAATCCAAGTTGATATCCAATTCTACTGTAACCTTCTAATCGTGCAATACGCACGTCTACTAAGGCGAGCCTCCAGCCTCATTGGGTCTCTTACATGCAGTCCTGTACGGCTGGGTCTACCACGTTTGGTTCTGTCCACCCCGGAGATCGTTACCTCGCCGTATAAGTAGCCTTATTTATGCAGCCAGCTAGCAGGGTTGCAGGCGATGCAGTCGTTTATCAATGACCGAATGCGGGGAACACGCCAAGTCATAGACGAATATATAAACATATAAGAGATAAGGTATGGCGCTTGGTTGCCCTAAAAGTTGTCTGCAAGGGTGTACGTTTTTCGACCTCGCTCACCATGTTGGCAGCAGGCCTTCGTATGGCCGTTAGCCTCTCAGCGCTGGTTCCATTTGCTCGCGCCCAGTTTCCACCAACTCCCGAAGACGTTACTGTCCTCAAATCTAAATTCGGTGACGGCGTTACGATAAGTTATAAGGAAGTGAGTATATGTACCTAGATCTAGATCTAGATCTAGATATAATCGCGACTTTGAATTCTGGACCTAACCTCCTTTAAAAGCCTGGTATTTGCGAAACGACACCAGGGGTAAAATCCTATGCAGGATACATTTACCTTCCGCCAGGTACGCTGGCAGACCTTGGAGAGGAGCAAGAATACCCCATCAACACATTTTTCTGGTTCTTCGAAGCACGGAATGATCCCGAGAATGCGCCACTGTCCATATGGCTTAACGGTGGCCCTGGGTCCAGCTCGTTATTCGGGCTCTTTACCGAAAATGGACCTTGCTATGTCAATTCTGACTCCAACTCGACTACTTTGAGCGAGTGGGCATGGAATACCGACGGTGAGCCTAATAAGCCAACCTTCTCCTCATATTAGTCAATAGTGTGAGTATGAAGGCTAATACGTTAAAGTTAACATGCTATTCATTGACCAGCCGACTCAAGTGGGCTTGTCATATGATACATTGCAAAATATCACCGAGAACCTGGTCACTGGACAAACTCTTAAGATTGATGAGATTGATACAATTCCCGAGCAGAATGCTACTCTCCTAGTCGGCACATACCCAAGTCTGAACAGAAATCAAACTGCCAAGGGCACTCGTAACGCCGCCATTGCTTTCTGGCACTTCGCTCAGACCTGGTTCCAAGAGTTTCCGGGATATCATCCGAACGACTCAAGGGTAAGCATTGCCACCGAATCCTACGGTGGCCGATATGGTCCAGAGTTCGCTGCCTTCTTCGAGGAGCAGAATCAGAAGATTGAGAACGGCACGTGGAATGATGACGATGGTGAGAACTACATCATTAACCTTGACACACTCATCCTTATCAACTCGTGCATCGATCGCCAAATACAATGGCCCGCATATCCGCACATCGCGTTTAACAATACCTACGGCCTCGAGACCGTCAATGAGACTATTTATCTACAGATGGTAGACGCTCTCGAGAAACCCGGCGGCTGCCGCGACCAGATCAACGACTGCAGAGCCCTGGCGCTCGAGTACGATCCTGACAATATTGGGATTAACAGTACTGTTAACAAGGTGTGTTCAGACGCTGAAACATTTTGCTCCGGATACGTCCGCGATCCTTACCTCGACTACTCGGGACGTAACTACTACGATTACGCCTCACTTGATCCTAACCCATTCCCGGCTCCGTTCTATAATCTCTACCTCAACCAACCTCATGTTCAAAAAGCGCTCGGAATTCCCCTCAACTTCACCCAGTCCTCGAGCGCCGTCGCTTACGCTTTTAGGGCAATTGGTGACTATCCCCGGCCGGGATGGGTTGAAGACCTTGCTTTCCTACTCGAAAATGGGATCAAAGTGCATCTGATGTATGGTGACAGGGACTTCGCGTGTAATTGGATCGGTGGCGAAGCCGTCAGTCTGGCCGTGAACTACACGAACACCGAGAAGTTCCACAATGCAGGGTACACGGATGTCGTCATCAACGATACATACATCGGAGGACAAGTCCGGCAATACGGTAACTTCTCCTTCTCGCGCGTGTACGAGGCAGGCCACGAAGTTCCAGCGTATCAGCCCGAGACGGCATACAAAATGTTCCATCGTGCCCTATTTAACAAGGACATCGCTACCGGCACAGTTGATCTCGTCGAAATTGATGAATATGCTACTAAGGGACCGGATGACACTTGGGCAATTAAGAATGAGGACCCCCCGGAGCATTTACATTTCTGTTTTATATACGACACGTCTACATGTACAGAGGAGCAGATCGAGAGTGTGCTGAACGGCACAGCTGTCATCATAAACGGTATCATCAAAGATAAAAACTCGACTCAGCTATTTCCCGAGTTTTTCGGCGACGAGAACGACGATGGAAATGGCCAAGGTAATTCCTCTTCATCGGCTACGCCCTCCCCATCTGCGACAAACACTGGAGGGGGTGCTTCGGAAACTGGAAGTAGTACCGCAGCTAGTATCGCTAGAAGCCGTATTAATATACGGAGCTTTGGATTCTGGGCTGTCGCTTCAGCATTAGTATATGTTATTTTAGCTTAATGATAACGAATAGCTAATAGACGAGAGTAAATACTTTCGTATATAAGATGGAAAATCCACATACCTAAGGCAACACAGATCATATCCTAGTATCTCCTTGACTTGCATTATTATATAGGTACACAAGTATCCCAGAGCCACGAAGAGCTAGTATCTGGACTTGTTTATTCTTTATTCATTTTACTTTGCATCGTGGCGTAAAGCTACCTAAACATGGTCTATACCATTGGATTGCCATCTTAAGTCTCAGGTCATAGGACATGGCCCCTCTTACTTTGCCCTATATACACTGCCCTAAAGAATAGGTATCTACCGGTTCAAACCCCTTGTCTAGGCCAAAGCTAACTCCAGCAACCCCAGGCTTATATAAATTCTAGCACCTCAACCAGGCCCAGTAATGGATAGAATTTTGATAGGCATGGCAGCCGCATAGAAGAGTGATTTTTGTTGACGCATCGGCTTAGGTTCGAACTTGATCTCTTCCACGGCGAAGTGGTGCTGAACTGTGGGTGGTAGAGTGCTCCGTCAGTGTCACCAATCTATGTTTACACAGAAAAATATACAAACACATACCACACTCGTCGCTAAATCTTTGAAAGGTTTCAGCATTCCGGACGACACCAGCTATAACGACTATAAGCTTCGGGCTCCTATCAATGAGTTGATGCAATGTCGATACTAGCGCTGGTATCGCTATCTTGTCATATGTCTATACAATAAATTAGTATTCCATATCAGTATTGGGTTAAAATTAAATGCGAGCTTACAATATCGGCACCGATCACGATGTCATATGGGTTGGCGTCACAATCGGTTTTGATCCACGTTTCCCAAGGGTTGCGGCCCCATGTCAAAGTTCCCGTTCGGACTTTCTCTTGGTCATCAAGACCATTCAACGCAAAATTTTCCTTCATGGCTTCAACGACTCCTTCATCGCCGTCTGTGGCGGTTACGTGGTTTGCATGTAAATGCTTGGCTAAGAGAATACTGAGAAACCCGGCACCAGCGCCCAGCTCCAAGATATTCTTTCCACGGACAATGAGCGACCCAGGATCGGTTAGGAAGTACGAGCCTAGATGAAGAGACCCTTCCCAGGTCCGGAAACCCGTTATTTTCGAACCCAATACCAAGTGTCGCCGCTCGAGTAGTGTAATTGCAGGTTCTGATTGGTTATCGTCTGGGTTATACTTCTCTGGTAGGCAGGTGAATGTCACATATGCCTCTTCCTGAGCTGCCTGGGATTCTAGTGGGATTCCTCTAGCCACGAAGGACTCAAGACACGTCGTAAGCTCTTTAGAGACCTCCTAGTAAAGTTAAGCCTGTGTCTAATGAATTTCGGGAAAACTAAGTAACTAGAACGAGAAACTTACATCTTGCTCTGAACTCGCTATCACGTTCTCAACCTTCGTAACAAGTTGCTTCAAAACACGCACTTGGTAGCTCTCAGGCGGCAGCCTTGAATTGCTGCTGTCTTCGAATAGGTGCTTATATAGCCATTTTTGTACATCTTCATTCTTGAGGAACTTAGCTGGCGGCCAAGCGAGAAATTCGGGCTCAAACAGTTGCATATACTGCCGACGTAGTAGAAGTATCTGAGGATCTACGTCATATCCCGACATTCTGAGAGGTTTGTTGCTATTGGTGATAGTATGGACTATTTACGAACGAAATTAGCAACCCGCATGCGCCTAGCCTAGATCTTAATAGGATTGCCCAGGACGCCCAGGATGCCTCCATGTAATATTCAATCTAATGTGGAGCTGTGCTTGGTATGACAACTCTTATTTTGAGCACAGTCCTTGGCGCATCGAAAGTTGTGCCCCTTTTCTTTGATACTGATGTGTAGATGCATAGATCAAATACTGCTTGATGATGGCGGCGTAATATTTATGAGTTCATATTTATTGCACGCAGCAACTCGTAAGAAGGTAGAAGTGATAGTTTAAATGTACTCTACTTAGAAAGGCTTCCGATACGCACCGTACAGATTAAGATATAAGACAGTCACGATGAGCTTCTCAGATATTAATTGAAGCTAGTAATCTAGAACAATGCCCCACGGTCCGTCGAGCTTTTAATTCTAAACTTTTATATAATTGAATGATAAAAACGGTATACCATCTCCACTTAAGCCAACTAGCGTCTACAACATTTGTGATGTTAACAATCTCGATTCGTCTAGTGGTTAGGATACCTGCTTGTCATTCTGTTAGTCTGTTGTGATGAAATACGCAGGTGGCCGGGGTTCAATTCCCCGATCGAGAGAGATAGGATTAATCTTTTGCTCGGCTCCCTTTTCCTCATTCGCATTGTTTGATAACGACGATCATATTGCCCTCTATATCTAGATTACGCCCCGGGTGAAGCTTCAACCAAGATGTTGTTCTTTATCTAATAGTAGTATTCGTAAAGACCTATAATAACCTGTTGGAGTTAACTAACATTGTAGAATAATGCTATACTTTGTCATGTTAAGGCGAGCAACATGTACTGTGCAGGTAGATAGTAATCTATAAATTCGTAATAACATTAAATACTGTATAAAATTTCTCTTTCTATAGGTAACCTCCAATAATAAGATGGAAAGTTTTGTATAAGTCATTTTCTAGAAAACCTTTACTGCGTCGAGTACGGGATAGTATTGTCATTACTACCTATTTAACTATCTTTTATAGGTAACTATCTTTTATAGGTATTTAGTCACATATACTTCTAGTGGTATATAGTATGAATTTGGTTCTCGTGGTTGGCAAACCCTTGATAATTAGTGTCAATGATTAATTCCCATAGGTAGGTTGACATTTATAAACGTTCCATCCGGGCATGGGCATGGGTTGATACGTCACATTGGGTAACTAATTTTGTGTCTATTTCTCCAATGGGTCGCGCTCCTCCATTTCGGAGAATCTAGGGTTTTCAGCCTGCATGCGGTGTCACCACTCATGCCACCGGCAATGACTAGCTTCAATAGCTAGGTATGTAGAGAATTCTATCGGAACAAGGCACTCCGAGTACGTCGAGGGGATCATATGTTGTAGAAACCTACTTAGGGTGCCTCGGAGAGTCGTCAGCTTCTTCTGGCTTGCGTTTGACTTATAATTATGTTCGACAACTACATTAATATAAGCTAACTAAACTATTGTAGCGCCGACTACCTTGAAGATATATTATTACGTTAATTGTGAACCATCATGGTCCCAATATCTCGACCTTCGGGTATCACGACATTGGTTGTCGCCATAGTTGCCCTATTAACACCGGTCATCTATCAAATCACATCCCCATCTATCATTTCGATATATCCGTATCTAGCTTCACTCTCCTCGTTGGTTTCTAATATGTTTGGTCAAGACATTGAACCAGTTGCATCATCCTTCAGCTGTCTTCCCCACCATTACACGACCGAGATCATCTCTCTCGACCCCCTTATTATTTACATTGATTCTTTCCTTGCGCCGACCGAGATAAAGGCTCTGCTCGAAGCCGGGCACTCCGCGTTCGCTCCCTCTCGGGTCTATAAAAGCGGTCATAATCAAGGCACACAAGATCGGACCTCATCATCTGCTGGTCTGCCACGCGATAACCCTGCAGTACAATGTGTGCTAGCTCGTGCCGAAGGTTTCCTCGGTGCGATGTTAGACCCTTCTCGAGATGACATTGGTCCGCCACAACTCGTACGCTACACTGCAGGCCAGCGCTTCAACAGACACCACGACTGGTACGATCGGCCGCAGCCAACACGGCGGGGTATGCTAGGGCGGGGAAAGAGCTGGAATCGCATTGCCAGCTTCTTTGCTATTCTAGAGGATCAGTGCACAGGTGGTGAGACGTGGTTCCCCTTTGTGAATACAACTGCGGTATCAAAAGCAGATAAGGATAGCCAGCAGCTTTGGAGGGACCATGAAGATGGTGGCTTAGCCTTCAAACCTGTAGCTGGAAATGCGCTGTTCTGGGTTAATTTGCTTCAGAATGGCACAGGAGATGAGCGAACTGTCCACGCGGGTCTCCCCGTGGTAGAGGGCTTGAAAACTGCAATGAATATCTGGCCTAGGAAATTTTATGCGTGAGGCACGAGCTGGTATTGTTAGTGATCGATCCTGTACTACAAGTAGCAGCAGTTTGGAAATCGTCTAGATAATCCATAATGCTACCTCGCTTGATATCTTAATACGAGACGACGTCAAACGTGTGGAAATACTATTCCTCTCCAAAACGTTTCAAAAGAGAATATCTAGACAATTCCTTGATGATATGGAAAAGTTAATCACTGATCACCTTTAGAGTAAATATCGTAGTCTGATCGTCTTCTCCATTAAACACCCATACCTGTACCCCTCGTATGTATATAATAAATCTCCAGAGTAATTTTAACATTGCCAATTTTCAAAGCTTGGTGATCAGGCTGACAGATATGCCTAACCAGCTTACGTGGTGGGTGCGTTACGCAACTTGAGAGGTAGTATTCGCGTCCCGCAACGTTAACTAGAGGTATATTTACTGGTCATTAAGGGGTAACATATATATCATGTTATAGTGCAGGCGGTGTTTTCGGAAATCAAGGGCAAGAAACAGTAGATCACATATCAGAAAGGAACAAATAACATAGGTAACCTAACATATCAAAGCCGGTTGTTGGGTGGGATCAAAGTAATCCCTAATAGAAGTAGCCGAGACTGACCTCAAGGCTCTGACCGCTTCATACGGGATAAGTATCTAAGGCTCTGGGCCCCTTTATAAGTACACCAACCCGATAGCCATGTTGGCCATTATAAACAGCACACCAGTTAGAAGCAACCACACAGAAGTTAGCACCTAATATGCTAGCCGACCACTAATTACCGCCTACACATCTACCCCAACCACGACGAAGCACAATCTTCGCTCAAGAACTGGCTGTATTCGGGATTACAGTCGGGATGTTAGATGCTGCCGGTAGTCACGCTGCTTCGTCCGCTCTCGTACTCCAAAGGGATCATCTAACCTTATCGTGCGAGTCCGTCAATATGATATCAAGGCGGAGGTGTAGGTCTGCTACAAGGCCCGCATTTTCTATAAACAATTTGAACATTCGCCCCGTCGGTGTATACTGCGTGGTAGTCATCCAGGCAGGGGGCGATGCATTTGTCCTGGATTACACGGTTGCAGTTGGAGCAGAGCGTCCGTTCCCAGTCGCACATGATGATGTCTAGCGAAGGATTTTAGGACAGGCCTCAAGTATAAATAGTAAACGTTTGCACATACCTGAGGATATATTTATATTAGTTATATATTATAGTTTAGATGTATCCAAGGAGTTGTTTGCGAGCCTGTAAGATATATTATAATAGACTATCCTTCAGCTTTATACACCCGAACAAATAACTGCTCCTTATAGATGATATCACATCGTTCTCATAACCACTAGATTACCATCGCTTCACCTAGTCACAGTCGAGCGTAGAGGCTACAGGGGGGTTTCTCCAAGTTACGAGGAGGCACTCGTATCTCGCATCTAATAGGTTATGTGCTGGGGGTTATGAGACATAGAAGAGTGGCCGATTAGGATGGGAGGATGGGAGGATGGGCAGATGGGAAGGGGAAATTTTTTGGTGCTTCAGACGGTGCTAGCAAGCACGAATAGTTTTTGGAAACATATTGCGTGCGGCTGTCTATATTTCCCCGATTTACATAGCGTAGCATTCTCGCAGATAACGATGGGGATCCATAGTCTTACGCCGATGAAAGGACACCACGAGACACCGAAATTGGCGCAGTTTGGTATCCAAATGTCCATAGTATCCAGGCGTAGTCCTTGCCAGTAGTCGCAAAGGGCGGAACGTGGGTAAACATCGCTTATTGATTTAAACAGGTATCGTAGGTATTAATGCTTGTAGAACTTCATCCTCATATGACTAATAAGCGTAGTAATAACGTATGGCGATCCACGAAACTGGAAGCTTGGGTCCGCGAATAAGAACAACGTGCCAGGAGAAGGCCTACAATATGCGATCCTACCTCGAGCATCAGCACGAAAACAGCCCACTTAGCTAAAATATCTAATAGATGTCTACCATAGGATAGCATAGGACTACTGGCAAAAAACTAGCACATGCGGTTGCAAAGTTGACCCATAACAACAATCCAGACAACAAAAGAGGTTAGAAAATCAATAGAAGCTAAAATGCTCGGCCTTTATACGACTAGTAGCAGAACTTTGGCTCATCATCATGTCAAATTCCAGATATGTACATATCTTCTCACATTATTAGCAGTTCATCGTTACGCCATGCAGACTGTGATGGAACCTTGACGATACTACCTTATTCTATCACCCCCACGGTTTCATCGTTCGTCCAAGGTTGGATCTCTTGCAAAGTCCTACGACTTGATCAATATTCTTGGCATCATGTTATTAGTCATGGGTCGCCCACAATACATATCAGGGTCCTTCCACAGTACCGAACCCATTCGCCAAATTTCTATCACGGTTTCTTATATCTTTTTCTAGCAAATACCACGGCACTTTATGACTCATCTAGTATCTCACACTGAGCACCAGGATTTATCGTTCCTCGCTTCTGATTTTGCACAAGCACATTCTGATTGACATCCCTAGCCTGATCGTCCTGTCCATATCACTTAGGCTTGGACGATGACCTGAACATCTGCTACCGTTGCTCGTGCCATCTTCTTAAGAAGTGTCCGTTCATCGGCTTCACGATACCTCTCCCAGCCATCAAGCCCTTCCCTTGCCTGGATACTCAACGTCTCGTAACCCTGCTTGATCACTTCCACCACCTCAGTACTAGTGAGGTTTTTCTTGGAACTATCCGAGTCCAACATGGTCTTGTAGTGCGTACTCACGCTAATAAGCGTGCCTATTGAATTTGATGGTCGGCTTGATAGGCGGTAGGTGTCGCGGAATTTTACTAGGATCTCGCCACTCTCAACAACTTTATAGAATAGGTCGTCATAGGCAGCAGGCGTAGGAAGAAAGGCTTCCCCTGCGGAGAGAGAAAGAGCCAATAGGTTCACGGCCAGATCTAAGAGGGATTCGTAATGGGAAAGCCCCTTGAGATCAGAAGCATAGGTAGTGAGAAAACGGATAAGAGACAGCAGAGAACGAAACAGCTCAGACCAATGATATTGCAATCTTGTCCGTGACCGCGAGAGGTACGAGATGATACGCAGCATGATACCAACACACAAAGTATAGAGGCTGACATCGAGTCTGCGGCGCAGATTATGGTTGATGCCATCTATCATGGTGTCCAGGATGCTTGTTGCCAAGATACGTTCTCCCCGGACAGCTGGCAGGAATGGTTGCCGTTGACGGCAGAGTCTGACAGCGACTTTACTCTCATCGCTACATATTCGCTTACACAGCAGCTGGTCCTCAATAAGAAGCCGAAAAACCATTAGGCTGAGATGAGCATAGTTTGTGGCTCTAGTAGAGAGGAAGGCATGCTGAAGGAGGTATGAGGTTAGTGATAGGAAACCAGAAATGGGTTGCTCTTCGCCCTTTTCAGCAGGCAATGTGACGAGGGTGAAGCAGAATAGCTTATTTGCGTGGCTGAAGTCGTATGCACCTAGTAGCACAGCAGCATCTTCGCCGGGCCTAGGTAGGTTAGACGAGGCCTTAGAGTAAATAGGATGCCATCTTACAATTTTGCGAACATCTGCTTGGCTACCTCTGGGTCGTATGTGGGTTTCTGGTGTGCCTTCGCACCAGGGGTAATAGCACCAAGTCCGATCATGGTTAAGGTATTACTGATAGACCACCCTTCAGGTAGATCCTGTAAAATATCGACGTATTGGCTTCTTAAATTTCGACAAGTGTGCCCGACACATCGAACGATTTTCCGTATAGCAGCCTCATTAACAAAATCGTTGAGTCGTAGCTGGTAGGGGTTCTGAAATTCAAATTTGTTGTAATTTGCCAATAGGCCCAATAAAGTAAATGGTTCCAGAACCTTTTCGGAAGATTCCGAGTCTTGAATGAGCTTGGCGACGTCAGTCTCGGGTCCCGACTCATAGTGGGAAAGAGACTAACCTTCATTATGGCGGGGAAGAGATCCCGCTGTATGAAATAAGTCAGAATACTTGTCTGGTATGCACCCGAGGTGATGGATAAGACAACATCCACGGCTTTTTGCCGAACTTCCACTATAGTCCCGCCATTATCAGTATCTTCCTCACCCAGCTCACGAAGCAGGATATTAGCCTACTTGATTTGCCATTGCGAATTACCCCATCCAGAGCCCCTACGAAATCGGTGAAGACGGCGTCAACCTGATCTAGGCCCGCTAGCACGGCTATGATATCCGAACTCGGGTTTGTATATTTCTTAGGAAGAATGGCGGAGAAGAAGGTTGTTAAGGTCTGTGTACGTAATTAGTTAGGAGATATGTTCATTAAACCGGATTTCAGGGTTCGATTTGGTTATATACCTCAAGAGCATGTAGATCAGCCGCACCATTTCCTTTCTTCAAGCATTCTACAGCCCGGAAGAAGAGCTGTCGGGTTTGCGACTGGAGGTTTATTAGGTCGTCGGGTCCTAGGGCGGCTAGAGTTTGTTGCAAGAAGGGTCGGTCGGGTTTCAGGAGGAAGAATTCTCGCCAGAAGCCCTCGGCTTTCTCTCCGTCCGCATCGACATCATCCTACTCAAGCGATAGAAGAGTCAACGACTAAGCGAAGACTAGATGGGTAGGGTGGTTTCTAGAACAGGCCAACATACCTTGAACTCCCATTGTCAGCTTTTTGCCCAATCCAAAGATCAAAAAGAAATCCGAAGTTCCCGAACCTTGAATAACGCCTCGTACAACTGATCTACTTTCGGTTGGAAGATTTCAGGTCGGGCCTGTTGGGTTAAGGGCGAGACTTCCATGACCGATGACGATGTATGAACGAGCGACACATGAACGCAGTTTATATTATACCATAGATATGGGTGGTATCATCGCAGTAGCAGAGTAGGTGATATGCCGTGAGTCGAGTCGCTTGCTATATGAGTAATTCTTTTAAAAGGGGGTTATTTGTGCCAATCGCAACTATGCTAAATGCCTAAATCGCCAACTCGAGATGCCTCGTCGCAATCATTAAGAAATGGGGATCGAGGCATGCGACACCATTCGTCTGGATATTGTGTTGTACTGTGTTAAGTTGTAAAATCCCAATCCGTGTCCCGCACTGTACGAAGCTGTTAACCCCTTGCAATATGTATTAACTAAGCCCAGTAAGTTATCCACAATTCTTGCTGCCGGGAAAAGCCTTATTCCGCTAGTACGTACTTCCATCCATCTAACCGGTAAACTTAGTGGGGTTGACCAATAGAAGACCCTTGATTGGTCCGGTCAGAGCCGGGTCGCAAACCTTATCGACCGATGTCATCAGACGTCTGGCTCAAAAGCTGCTTTCAAAGCAGTTTACAATTTACAATTTGCAATTTACAATTTACATAGCATTACAAGCCACGCTGTTGAATTTGCCATTGGTTGCAATAGTTAACCACTTATCAAACCTACAATCTAATTCACTACTTTTGTCTCATTAGGAATTTATGGGCGCAATCTTTCCTTTACTTTCGTTATACATGACGTTACCATCGTCTGCTGTAGCATGATGAATTCTCCTCGCATCGCGTTGTCACGAACTTGGACAGCCTTGTCCGGTTGTCGCATTGCCACATCGGCCCCGAAATTGCTCCCTTGCGAGAGCCTCTTGCGACAGTTCTCTAACTATCAGCCATGGTATGCGCCTTCGGAAAAGCTCCAAGAAACACCATCATACCAGCCCTATCCCCTAAATACAAACCCGAGTAGATCGTCGCAACCGCGCAACGAACCTATACCAGAAACCTCCATCGCCAGCCCCATACCAAACGTTCACGATACACGACCACCACCTCAGCCAGAAGCAGCTACACATCCTAAGGTTGCCTTCACAGAACAGGAGGCACATAAGCCGAAACCAGCCCCTCCGAAGCGCAAGCTAAGACCACGCAAAGCCGCGTTACAACTCACTCCTTCAGCGGTAGAACATCTTCGCGGCTTGCTAGACCAACCAGAGCCAAAGTTAATCAAGGTGGGGGTGCGCAACAGGGGATGCAGCGGCCTGTCCTATCATTTGGACTACGTGGACAAGCCCGGAGTCTTTGACGAGGAAGTCGAACAAGATGGAGTAAAGGTATTGATCGATAGCAAGGCTCTATTCAGCATCATAGGAAGTGAAATGGACTGGATTGAGGATAAGCTGAGCCAACGGTTCATATTCCGGAATCCAAACATAAGTCAGTATTTCTCACATAATACTTATACTTGTTACTTGGTAGATGCGATTAGATGCTAACCTATGCATAGAGGAGGAATGCGGCTGCGGAGAATCGTTTATGGTATAGTGGTGAACAGCAAGCGATAATGAGCTAAGATACTATTCATCTGCATTGGGCGGCGTTACCCCTGTTATTATTAGATTATACCACCATCACCACTTAGTTAGAGTATGTCGACCCGGTCCATTCAGGTACAACTCCAACAGTCAGTTGTATCACGGGGAACTTTATGTCAATCAATCAAGCATTCATACGTGGAGCAATGGATTTCTCACGTACCATTCACAAATAATTACCTATTGGCTGATAATATCACGCCTACAGTGTACATTCGGGAAGTCAAGTTGCCATAGTTAAAGTGTTGCTTCCTATACTTACCTGGGCAAGTTTACATGTAAAACGAAACTCTCAAAAGCTACCTCTCTGTGTTCTCCTTCGAAAGGTAAGTACATATTAAATCCAATACCAGAGAGCATATTTACTAGAGGTTCTACGTATGAAGTCCATCTTATACCCACGGCGAATACGACTGTGGAATCTTTTCTAGCTCAAGGTCAATGCTGTTGCCAACTCCCCTACTACTGAATTGGACATGGACCTCCTCTATCTTGAAAATCCGGTCATCATAATCATTTCCCACCAAAAGCGGCTCTGTCCTCGCACATAACACCGCCAGGAGACTTTACCATTTTAGAGCGTTTTGATGCGGATAATGAGACATGGTTGCTTCGTATCCTACTTACCACCAAAGTCGTCACTCCGGAGCACGCTAAATTTGGTACATTTGACGATTGATTTTATACCTGCGCTGTGCTGCTATGTAAGAGAATGGACGAGTAAGAGCGCTGTTTTCACCAAATGCACCCAACTTGCCAAAGACCAATGCTCATAGCAGTAGAAACACCGACTTTCTTGCTGATCCGTATCTGCAATTTTACTGTAATGGGCCATGGAAGAGCAGCCAAGACGAAGTCCATGAATGCGGAATATGCTAGCACTGATCAGTAATCATTCGTTACCATATGAATACCGTGTACATACCAGCAGAAAAAATGGTGAACGCAAGGATAAGGTTTCTATGCCAACAAACTCCGGTGGCGTAGAAGTCCCAGGTCATCCTCGCTCGCCGGTACTGTACCCATCGTAGGATCAAGCTGACACAGGTAACCATGTTCATAGAGATCATAATCATGCAAAGTACGATCTTTAACCGAGGATCTGCTATCCTAATGAGCGTTATAGCAAAGGAGTTCTTACTCCATATTGCCGAAACAAAGAATAAAGTCCTGGTCACGTTTAATGAAAACTGCCGATACACAGAGGCTGATAAGTTCTCCCGAGGCAATAAGCACGAGTTCAACCTCGAGCCTAGTTATTTCAATACAATGGACTAAGGCGATTAGACAAGAAACCAAATATTCAAGAATAACATAATGCTCATCAGGCTGTCAACAGAAAAGCAGAACATCACAACATCAGATATAGTCCTGCATCAGGGATATCTTTTGCTGCCCTCTTACAAGGACTATACCATGCATGCACGCCCGACATGATATGATCAACTGAACCATGACATGACATAGAACAAATACTACATTGCCCCTATAAGAGACAAGGCAGTCCAAGCTGGTTTATAGCAACATTCGTAATGTATGACCAATCCATATATTTCACAAATTCCTTCATTTCACAATATCAACTCCGATCAGGGATATGACGAGATCACCCAAGTTGCATCACCATCCCCTTTTTGATCGCGTCTATCTCTCGCTTACCTAATGGGTCCTTATGGTCAAAATTTGCCTGCTTCCGCTGGGAGCTCGTCCACTTCAATGAGAGTTAGCAGTTACTTTAGGCATGAGGTCGAAAAGTTTCACTCGAATTGAAAAGGTCTAGTTCCTGACACAAGCCAGAAGGGTATGGGGAAGAATAAAGACTCCGAGGGGTAACATACAGTTGTGATGTCTAAATCATCGCCACCGATAGCGTGGGGTTTTCCTTTACCGTAATTCTTCTCGTATATCTTTAATGCCGTTTTAAAGCCCCATGGATCCTTTGCGTTCTTCTTAGGTAACTCTACTTCCCCCTCGAGATTTGCAGTGATCTCGTCGATATCTTCAGGACCCTGTAATGTAACACCGCGCTGATTGGCGTATGAAAGAATGGCATCATCGAAGTGGTTGGCCTGAAATTTGGGTTTGCGACCTCCCCTGTCATCGTCGTCTTCCTCGAGGATACCACCAATTGAGCGTACTTCTGAAGCAATTTTCAAATATATAGCCATGACGGTACCCAAGCTCTTGACGTCGGTAGCGTCACCAACCAGATTCAGGCCATCGAGTTGCGCCAGCATATCTAGGAACATACGGCCAATGAGACGCATAGTTTGATCGACACATTCGCCATCGTCAATCCTGACCAGGTGAAAAAATAATGTTAGCAGAGAATCAACGAAACGGCGATACAAGTTGGCGGGTTTTTACATCATCATCCTACCGCTAGCTGAGCTCAGTAGCCAAAGTCCGAGACCTTCGCAAACGGCCCATTGTTCTCTCCAGCCGCGCTCTACCGCCTCGACATAATCCAACACCAAGTTCTGCACAATCTGAACGCATCCGTAGCCAACGTGGTCGTTATAGGTGTACATATCGAAGTAATCAGGGTTACGCAATGAGAAATGGATATTCTGGGTGGAATATTTCCGGTAGCCAGCCCGACTCACAACCCACGGGTGGTCTGGATTCTCCCCAGCTGGTTTGGAGCATATACAACCTTTTCGGGTGCATCTGGGTCCATCCCTGCTTTCATCCTCGGGGTCATCCTCATCGACCTCCTCCTCTTGTTCCTTGTCCTCGTCCTCGTCCTCGTCCTCGTCATCGTCATCATCCGGTATTGGCGGGCAGATGGTTACAAACGAATACCATTTGTCGGGTTTCTCCCAGATCGTTTTGTAGTCAGCATCGGCATTAGCCGAGCCGGACACGGCAGACCATCGTTTGCTTTTCGGCGGCTCATCACTCAATGTCTTAGCTTTCTTCCTAGAAGTGCCAGCGCTAGCTGCAGGGCGTTTAGGAGGCATCGTATCGGGAATAATAATACAAAAATCTTAATAGAACTGAACGTATTTTGGTATTAAGTATTGAGGTACGAGATATGAAGTATGAAGTATGAAATGATATATAAAAGTCAAGTTCTACACCGCATAACTAGTAGCTAATAAACGCGACGCGCTCTGTGCGTCCCTGAATGGCCATGCTTGTAATTAACGTCATAGCTCTGTAAATAAGTGGTAATTAGCATATCAACATCCTTGGACAGTACAGTGCATATACATACAGTTAGTACAACCTATACAGTCATTAATTTGTGATGTACCTAGATATTTAGTATTTCCAGCCACAATGTGGCTTCAGGTCCCTAGCTTAGGTAAGGTTCCATAAGTAATGATTAGGTAAGCAAAGGACTGGATCCAGATCTTAGGTATTGACTCTTCGGGTATGAGACGTCATATTACTACATAAATTCTTAGAGAGCTTCGAACAAGGAAAGTGAACAGCACAGCTTTCCCCGCAGCCCCCGCCTCTCAGATTTCGATCCTTTCTCCGGCTCTCTGACCTCCTACGAAAGGTCTTCTATGCTCAGGTTCACAGGCTGACATGACGGATTATGTGGCGGCTGTGTAGAAACCCAGGCAATTGACTGGTAGTAGTAACCGCCGGTGAATTGGTAGCATAAGTGGAAGTTAGTGAGATTGCCTAGGGATGGAGGTGGGATAGGATATGTGGCGTTGAAGCTCGAGTCGTCGTAGCCCCCGTTCATGTACAATGTGCCGTTATTCGGGTGAAAGTAAACAGAGGTGCCATCCTCAACGCCAGGATAGATAAGAGCTGTGTAGACGTTGCTTCCAAAGCTCGGTTCGAGACGTAACGAGGAGGGCACAGTAATAGTACCGTTATTACTGCCTGCCTTCAACAAGTACGTGATCCAGCCAGGTTGCGAGGGGAGCCCCGTGTCCGAGTTATAAGAAGTGTAATTGAAATAGAATTCAGTCACGCTCCCACCACCACCACCACCTGAATAACAAAGGCCTTCTAGGGCTGCGCCAGCATGGCAAGCTGCAGCATATCCTGTGGAATAAGTTAGCAATGAACTTGACAGGATAAAAGGATCTAAAGAAAAGAGGAAGAACGACAGCATACCATCAACTGAGGAGTTTGACTTGCTTGTAATGTGAAGTGCAAACGGTCCTGTGGCGTTAAATGATACTGCTTGTGTGATAAGAGTAAGAAGTGTAGTAAAATGGAATAACATTTTAAGTGTAGTTAAAACGTGATTGTAAATAAAATGGTAAGAAACGTATAAAATAAAATGTTAAATGATTTAAAAGTAAAATTTTAAATAAATTTTAATAAAATATTACATATTTACCTATATAATTAATTTAATAATAAAATAACATTTTTATAAATTCGGGTAAATTTAAAAGTAAACTACTTTTTATAACTCGTTTTTATTAATAAAATAATGCAGTTAATATAAATATATACCTATTATTTATACGTGATTATCACAATAATGGCGTGATTACAAATGGATTTGCTCGTCAAGGCCTTTTATATGCTGCGGGGTATAGAATTTCAAGACCTTGCGATTGTAAGCTTAAGACTATATATATATGTGTGTATGTACCCGTGTGTTTGAACGAACTCACGAAATTGTTGTAATTGTCTACAAACCACTTCATTTTACCAAACTAGACCTGTCGTATAAGCACAGCACACATGGCGCCGGCAGCGCTTACCACTAGAGCTCCCCAGTCCGTACAGCTCCATGAAGATAAGGAGCGTTCGTACCCGTTTCCCTTAACCCTCGTCGGAGCTCTAGAGAAGTTCTCCTACGAAGAGACAACTCCCACTATCGGCCGGGAATATCCGAGTCTGAACATTGTTGACGACTTGCTCAACGCTAACAATGCCGACGACCTTATTCGTGACCTTGCCATTACCAGTAAGTTGCATTTGATATAAGCTACCCTTTTTACAAGGAAAGTTGTGACTTAAAATTTGTGTAGTTTCCCAACGGGGTGTGGTGTTCTTTCGTTCTCAGGATAACCTTACAAACGATCTACAGAAGCAACTAGTTCACCGGCTAGGCCAACTCACTGGGAAACCGAGTGATTCAACATTGCATATACACCCAATCTTGAACGGCACGTCCGAGTTTGGAGTGGGCGATGATCAAATTAGCACTATCAGCTCGCTACAGCGGAAAAATCTCTCCAGAGACACGCGTAAATCGAAGAGTAAGAGATATGGTTCCGCACAGTGGCATTCGGACATTCAATTTGAACCTGTCCCTGCTGACTATACCTCTCTTCGCCTGACTGAGCTTCCGACTACGGGGGGTGACACACTTTGGGCATCCGGATATGATATATATGACCTATTTTCGAAGCCGTATCAGAAATTCCTCGAGGGTTTGACAGCTACGTTTATTGGGGAAGGGTTCTTGGCTGCCGCCGCAGCTAATCCCGACAAAGTCAAATTACACGAGGGGCCAAGAGGAAACGATGCCAATGTCGGAAGAGAACTGAAAGCGGTCCATCCAGTAGTTAGGACTAACCCAGTTACTGGGTGGAAAAGTATCTTTGCAATCGGGCCGTTTCCAAGGTATATCAACGAATTGTCAGACCAAGAATCCTCGGAGCTACTCGAAAAGTTTAGTCGAACAATTCTCGAAAATCATGAATTGCAAGTTCGATTTAAATGGAGGAACAAGAACGACCTAGGTAAGTTCCTCATAGCTTAAGTATCAACATATATCATATATACTAACCTAAGATAGCAATCTGGGATAATCGAAGCGCTTTCCATACTGCTACTTTTGACTACGATGGTCTTGGAGAGAGGTTCGGAAACCGAGCGGTCGGGATAGGAGAGGTGCCGTATTTTGATCCGAATAGTAAATCCAAGGCCGAGGCATTGTCGTGCAGGAAAAGCAATGGCGCGAATAATACGGATGAGTAAGGGGGACGAGAAAAGGGGACGAGAAAGGGGGAGGGGGGGTATTAGTGTTTTGAATGATTAACATACCTAATTATGTTCATGAAGGGCAACGGATAGCAGCAGCAGTAGTAGTAGTAGTAGTAGTAGTAGTAACAATTGATGCATTTATTCATAATTTTTATGAGTTATATGCTGCTACTAAGTCTTCATTTTCATTTATATCAAGTATATCGTAAAAAGGCATGTAAAATTTAAAATATGAGAATATGGGTGCATATTGTAAGTGACATTGATGAAAATATTGATAAGGAGGTAATCGTTATCAACATCGAAGGTACTGTACCTAGGTAGCTATGCGGGGCTGGCGGGGTAGAGGGGTAGAGGGGCATTGGTGGGCTAAATAATATTTTACCCTGGGAACCTTAGCACCTGCGCTTATGTATTATACCATTTGTACCATTTAACGCTGTTAATTTAATGTTGTTGACAGCGAATACGGCATTGCTTCTGCTATTGGTTGTGAACTTGTGACTCAGCCCAACTTTCCTTCAATTATTTTCATTCCCAAGTCGTAAACCCGCAACACCGACTTTACCCTGCCCGACAAACACTCGACTCCCCTTTAAATAATACGACAAAATGGCTGACGCCGGGTCTGGGGATGTCAAGAAGGTCGTAGTTGGTGGGCCAAAGCCTTCGAAGAAGGATAAGAAGAGTAAAGCAGCCGGCGAAGATGCTAGTGCTGGCCCCCTCGAGATGACACCACCGCCTGATTTCCTCAAGACACGTCTCGACTTATTTGATCGTTTAAAGAAGAAGTACGACGAGGAGATTGCTAAGAGACCGCGAGAGCAAATTACAATTACCCTACCTGACGGTTCTGTCAAGATTGGGACGAGCTGGGAGACCACACCTGGCGAGATTGCGAAGGGTGTGTCGAATAGTTTGTACAAGCGCTCTGTCGTCGCTAGAATAGACGGAGACAAATTATGGGATTTGGAGCGGCCTCTGGAACAAAGTTGCAAACTCGAATTGTTAACCTTTGACGACCCTAAGGGAAGGGAAGTGTTCTGGCACAGCTCAGCCCATATCCTTGGCGAGGCCTGCGAGAGGAGGTTCGGCTGTTCCTTATGTATCGGGCCCCCGATCGATGATGGTTTCTACTATGAGATGGCTTTACCCGGCGGAGGTGCTGTCCAGACAAGTGACTGGACGCCTCTGGAGCGTATCGTTGGAGATATTGTCAAAGAGCGCCAACGATTCGAACGTCTTGAGATGACCAAGGATGAGCTACTCCAAATGTTCAGCTATAACAAATACAAGCAGCACATCATCTCCACAAAGATTCCCGATGGTACTTCCACTACCGTATATCGTAATGGCCCCCTGATCGACCTTTGCCGTGGGCCGCATGTGCCTGACACTGGTCGAATCGAAGCATTCTCCATCATGAAGAACTCGGCATCATACTTTCTAGGATCTCAGGAGAACGATTCCCTCCAACGTATTTATGGCGTATCCTTCCCGGATAAGAAGAAGATGGCAGAGCATAAGAAATTCCTGGAGGAGGCAGCTAAGCGAGATCACCGAAAGCTTGGCAAAGAGCAGGAGCTCTTCATGTTTCACGAACTCTCTCCTGGCTCGGCATTCTTCTTGCCTCACGGTACAAGGATCTACAACACGCTACTCGCATACATCCGAGATCAGTACCACAAACGTGATTATCATGAAGGTTTGTCTATTACCGACACCTCCCCCGATCATGGTTAATTAACTGCCTACGTTAGTCATTACTCCCAACATTTTCAATTCGGAGCTTTGGAAGATTAGTGGACACTGGGAGTATTACCAGGAGGACATGTTTGTCATAGATCTGGATAAGGAGAAATGGGGCCTGAAGCCCATGAATTGCCCAGCCCATTTCCTCATGTTTGCTCACAGTCCCAAGGTATATAGTCAGCTACCATTGCGTCTCGCCGACTTTGGTGTCCTCCATCGCAACGAGGCGAGCGGTGCCTTGTCAGGCCTTACTCGCGTCCGTCGTTTCCAGCAAGACGATTCCCATATCTTCTGCCGACTCGACCAGGTCACAAGTGAGATTTCTGATTTGTTTGATTTCCTCTCCGAGATGTATGGCCTCCTAGGATTTACCTTCAAGCTTCAACTATCTACCCGCCCCGAAAAGTTCATGGGCCAGATTGAAACTTGGGATAAGGCCGAGAGTATGCTAAAAGAGGCTCTTAACGGGTTTGCGGCTGGGCCCAGTGGCGCGTCTTGGACTCTCAACGAGGGGGATGGCGCCTTCTATGGACCTAAGGTAATCTTTTAAGGGGTCTCGCTCTGATCATCTACAGATTTGCTAACTATACTTTAGATCGATATCAAGATCTTAGACTGTCTGAACCGAGTTAGTATACCTACTTATTATATCCTATAGCTTGATCGCAGTGAAAGCACCGCGCTTGACTTTTATTTCAAACCTTGTGTGTTGCTAGTCCAAGAAGTCGAGCTGACTGTATATTTAGGAGTGGCAATGTGCTACAATTCAACTTGACTTTATGGGCCCCGAGAGTAATATCCCTTCCAACGATACTACATATTCGTTGCTAACACTTGATAGACTTTGGTCTCGAATATGTCACAGCTGAGACGCACGCTGCAAAACCCAAGCAGGATGAGCCTGCTGCAGAGGTGGCGGGAGCTAAAGCAAGCGAAGTCCAACCGGGTAACGCGGCCCTGGCGAACCCAGGCACAGGTGAGAGTGGAGCGAAACGGGAGAGGGCAATCAAGCCCTTGAGTCCCGGCTGCGCACGCCCAGTTATCATTCATCGTGCTATGGCGGGATCTATAGAGAGATTCATGGGTAAGAATGTCGAATGTCGGGGAACATAAAGGCGACCAGACTGCTTACGTTTAATTATTTAGGTATTCTCATCGAGCACTTTGCAGGAAAGTGGCCCTTCTGGCTGAGCCCGCGTCAAGTGATGGTTATCCCAGTCGGAATGGGCTTCATGTCATATGCACAAGAAGTTAGGGACATTCTCAAGAAAGAGAAGATATTCGTTGATATCGACACTAGCGGAAACACGCTTCCCAAGAAGGTTCGAAGTGCACAGTTAGCACAGTACAACTTTATATTCGGTAAGAATTTCGTCCCATTGGAGTTATTAGAACTATCTGCTTTGAGTCTACGTGAATACTGACGCGATCTCCAAAATCTAGTTGTCGGGGACGAGGAGATGAAAGGTCGACAAGTGAATGTGCGATACCGAGATGATACATCTACCCAGGACCGGGGTAAGCCTGTGCCCCTAGACGAGGTGATCGAGAAGTTACGAGGATTGCAGGTCGACCGAGGCTCGTATAATCCCTTCCCGTCGGAGAAACAGGCAGATAAGAAGGCGGCATGAGTTGACACTCAGATCCGCTAAGTAGATGCCGATAGACTATAACGAGCTGTTGAGCCTAACACCGTACAGCATGGCCAAAATAAAAGATAGTTCTGAAGTTGCTATACGCTGAGGATGTATTCTATTTTTTAGGATGCTATTCCTAACTAGGCTCTCTACATATATAGATATCTGCCTTGAATTCGGGTGGGGCTGTGTTGAAAATATGGCGGTTGTGTGTGGTGTGGTGTTTTGACAAAGATTGATAATGGTGTTCTGCAACTGCCCTCTAGTATGTTGCATACGCTATACGCAAGCTGACTACTAACAGGGCAAGTAATACAGTTGCTATAAAATGTCCAATGATAGACCTTTTAGTATAAAATTATTAAATCTGCTATCAACATGAGCTAATGCCATTGAAGCATGGCTGATATCTGGGATCGTGTATATATGGTTTCTCTGATCTCTGCAGCCTATGATATCTTATAAACTAGGTAGCTTCTCAGCCCTGAACTTACCCTTTTGCTACTCTTGGAAGCCAGTCAATATGCTATCGAAGCCACCAAGCTCTTCTAATCCGTTAAATTTTGAGCGATGCAGTGGAGTTTGACCAGGATTTCTCCTACGCCAGGTTTTGGCACACATATATCCTGGACCTTTGCCGTCTTGCCCTCAACGACGACTAATGCTTTCATTTTCGATGCCATTGTTACCTTGGTGATTGATAACAGTCGCCTCTGTTGTGTTGTGCTATATTGTATTATATTTGTATCAGGCTACTATTAGCGAAGAAGATAAAGAGTTAAGGCCCTTAACAAGTCCTACCCCTGTTTAGTATAGGAGTAGATTCGGAGAGTATAGAATTGCACACAGGTGGGTGCTCTTTAGCGTCTAAAGCTACTAGGATAGATCATTATCGGACTACTTATAGTAATTCTGTACACTTAATCCCTTGAATTCGAAAGAAGTCCCCTCGCGCTTGTCGAGAACAGTTTTATAATGCACATCCTTAACTCGTGCTCTCACGTACTCAGTCCCGGAGACTACTGGCTTGTCCGGGTTTTTATCCTCCGCTGAAATGAGTCCAAGACGGTCTAGCAGCGGAGATGGGACAGTCTTCATAGACGTGTTGGCACCAGGCCTACTAAAATAGAGCAAACCAAGTCGTGGAATGTTGATTTGATCTTTCGGTGGCGTGACTACACGGTGAATAGTTGACTTGATGAACCCTTATATTCCGGTAAGCTTAGTGCACGGGCAACTGGTTTGGGGAGTTGATAGTTACCGTTTGTTAGAAACGTCAAAGTGTCCGCCGCGTTGCAAGTGACTTAATACCTCCATGTTAGGATAGGACTATGTGTAGCGGAGGAGTCGACTTACTACCACCCTCTACGGGGCTCACATATTTCCACTTTCCCTCTGGCGTGCGTATCTGCAATCCGGCAACATGTTGTGAGAATAGCAGAGTCAAGCTGCCAAAGTCGGTGTGCCCACCCTTAGAGTAGGCTTGGGCTTTGTCCCATTCCTCTTTACTTCTTACGTTGTAGATCATGTACCGGAGGTGGTCGTCCGACTCCTCGTCATAAGCGTGCGCATCTGCGAGGTAACTTTCTGGAAGTTCAAGAATGATGGAAATGAGTACAAAAAGTTTCCGGATCACCTTGTCGAACAGATCTCTATGAAAGGACGCAATCTCATCCCAGTTCTGCTCGACAATCCTATGCTTCCCGACGTTGTCAAAAGCTGGAATGACTTTGGGTATATTCAGCATCTCCACGTTCTCCTTGACTCCCGTGTCGCCTATCCAGCGGGAATTCTCTCTGTATCCGAAATATTCGCCTTCAGCAAAGTTACAGGGAAACCGTCTCTTCTCCTCCAGGGGCTCTTTGAAAAATGTATTCCCGATGCTGAACTGGCGGAGAACACGTTCATCATCAATGCCTGTATTGACTACGGACCAGAAACCAACTTTAGTGACAGCGTCGTAAAGCTGCTCAGCAAGTTCTTGCTTGCCGCCGGGCTCGTCAAACCGCGACAGATCAATCTTGGGCAATTCTGCGTATTCAAGATTCTCTGAAGTCTTAGTTGGCCGAGTCCACGGTTTCACTAGAACTTTACTATCATGCAGCTGGCTTGCCGCTGGCGTCTCGATGGCAATAGGGGCCATAATGATTGACCCAAAGAATTTTTATTAATTTCTTTTCTGGGCGGAGAGATCTACGTAGCTTGGTCTGACCAACATAGTGTTGTCTTATACTAACCAACCTATATACACCGGACATTATTTTTTTATCACGACACTTAGTCAAACTAGTTGGTTGCATTTGTTCCTCTTTGGAGTATAGCGTATGCATTTTAATGTGATTGGTCGACTTGTCGTGGGATGGTTGTGGGGGTAGTTGCGTGCTTTGTGTTCTCATCGACCTCATCGCAGGCGTGCTCAGAAACCCATCAATGAGGTTGGAGGAAATGCCGGAATACCTAACACAGTTCCGATAGAATCTGATGCACCTCCGCAACGGCTAGTTTATCGCTGTAGTTGATGGTAGACTTCGAAATGGGGGGTTACCGGAGCCCGATTACCCCCCTTGCCTTCGCCACGGAGGTCATAAGTGATAGCAATTAACTTGCTATCTCCGTTAACTGTTTCCAGGGTCTGGAACATAGGACTAATCGCAGGCGGTCTCTAATTCAGACACACGCTCTTATAACATGGTGTGATAACGCAATAAAGCTCGTGCTTAGCTTAAGCTCGGCAAACCGCCGTTAACCCCTTGACGTTGTAACTCGAGTCACGCTCATCTATCTATGTTAAGGCTACCGCCGCCGACTTGGCCAGCCACTCTTTTCTCGTTCCTCAAGGCAAGTCCGCTTGTCCGACACTGCACCTATCAGAGGTTCCAAAAGAGAATCTGTTATACCTAACTCTGGTATAGGCTATTTCCTATAGGGCTATTTGTATACTGCCAGCCTAGCAAATCCCGACATGGCTTCCAGTAGTAGTAAAGTCGACATCAAAGTTGACGACACGGCAATGTCGGAACGCCGCACTCGCATCGATGTTGATATAGATCAAGACTTATCCGGCGCCGACTTGAAGCTCGAGAGGGCCGTGATGAGGAAGATAGATCTGTGGCTAGTTGGCTTTTATTCATTGGTTTACGTCTTCAGAGTTATCGACTCATCCAATTATTCAAATGCAGCTATTATTAATCTTGAAAACGGCACAGGTATCAAGAAGCAGCTAGGACTGAGCCCTTCTCAATGGGCCTGGACATTGTCTATATTCTCCTACAGCTACATGATTTTTGAGCCCACGAACACCATCGCAATGAAGGTGTTTTCACCTTCGAAATGGATGTTTGTACTCATTCTCGGCTGGGGTATATCTGCCTGCTCATCTGCTGCAGCACAAGACTTCACAGGTGTAAGTAGCTACGGGTTCTCTGAGATTCGGAGCAACTAACCTTGTAGACCCTAACATGGACGCAAATAGATGATGTTTGTTCGGTTTGCCATTGGGCTAGCCGAAGCTGGGTTCTACCCAGCCGTATTATACCACATGGCCTTCTGGTATAAGCCTATCGAAATGCCACAGAGGATTGCTATTTTTTACTCGCTTGGCCAGCTTTCTCCGGCAGTGAGCGGCCTGCTTGCTTATGCCATCGGCTTCATGGTAAGTAGCTCTATCTCATATCGTCTTATTTATGATTATCGGTTGCCTGGAAGATTGTGTTCTTGATTAGTGAGCATCATTGCTAACGATCTTATCATTAGGATGGGCTAGGCGGTCTTGCTGGTTGGCGATGGCTTTTCTTGATTGAAGGCTTGCCTGCCATTGTGCTCTCGGTTGGGGCGTTATGGCTACCGGACTACCCTGAGACAGCCTTGATGCTCACAGATGAGGAGCGAGACTTTTTACAAGACCGTCTCGAGAAGACTGCCCCCTCGGGAAGAAAAGGGTACTGGGATTTCGAATCGTTACGAAAGCTCATCAAAGATCCTACCTTTTATACGTTTACCTTATATTGGATCTGTCATGGAATCGGTGGTTTTGGTATTGGGACAGCGTTGCCTACCGTCATTTATGAACTGGGATTCACGACGACATCCAACTCGCAGCTTATGAATATTGTAAGAATATGAACCTACCTCCAGCCTAGGATTATGTATATCTAATATGTGTACATTACAGCCTCCTTACCTATCCGCGTTCCTCTTCTTGAATGTCTTGGGTTACTTTTTGCATAAAAAGGCCATTAGGCCGTGGACTACTGCCGTTACGAGTGGGTATAGAGTTAATTACGGAACGTATTATTGTGGATGCTGACAATTTCGCAGTTGAGTCGACTATTATTGTTTGCTATATCATCCTTTTTACAGTCCGCAACGCGGTGGTAAGGTATATATTCTTGATTGTCGCCGTCTCGTGTGCGGGTTCGGCATATCCAGTAATATGGCCGGAGCGTATTCGAGCGCTCAGGGGGACAGTTGCATCTGGGTTAGGCATTGGGTGGACGAATGCTATGGCGCAATTCAGCGGCATCGCAGGCCCGCACGTCTACAGCACAGTGTTTGGCCCCTCATACCATGTATCATATGGAATCTGTCTCGGGTTTCTGAGTGTGGGAATCGCCACAGTCTTGACTTCCTGGTGGCTTGTGTGGCGGAGGGACCGAAAGGTGCAAGTAGAGCAGGACCAAGGGGGTGAACAGTCAGCTTAAGCATTTGGAATAGAGACTTGTGGACTCCTTGGAGAGTAATTGGTGGCTACTATTTTATTCTACTGGTGCAACTTTCATTCGGTTGATCGTGTTAATCTTATAAAGCTAGATGGCATGGCAGTAAGTAACTTTACGAGAAGTATACAAAGTAGGCCTCGCTATGTAATATATCTTATACTATGTATAGTATGTCGAGTACAGTGTCGGGTTTACCTTGGCACGCTTTGGTATCTTCATATGTAGGTAAGTAGTGACAGAAGTTGAGGTTGTGAGCTGGAAGATGCGAGAAAGGGTTAAGAATTTTTCTTCGTGGCGGGCGGGTGAGAGACGATGATCGGGATAATGGCCGAATGAGGAAGTGTATAGGTATTAGTGTGTGGCGTTCGGGAGGTACTTGTATCTAGGCATGGCCTGACTTATATCGTACATATCTTAGGTTAGGTATTGCAGTGTAGTATTTTTGGGTTGCATTATAAATCAACACCGCCGTGGACTCCGTGTCGGGATTACAAATACTAGTTTGTCTATAATTTTACCTAGGCATGTGGGACTTCACGAGCTCATTAACCTAGGTTGGTACATAGATACGCGTTTACATCTATGATATATAAGTCGTATCATCGGGGGTAGACCCGTTTAGTAGTTAGCTATAAACGCATCAAGACGTCATCACCCTTTCACAATTTCGACTGCATCGTACACATAAACATAGCATATATCTAAAGGAGTAGCCTAGGAGTATAGCCTGGGAGTTTACTTTGACTCTCACCTTTCGCTTCTTAACGTATCCTCGCCAGACCTCTGCCCATATTATACTACTCTGAGGGATACTCGACCTCGCCTGATCCAACAATGGCGCCAAACAAGTCTCTCATTTTCAAAAAGGTCCCTACTGGTTTCCCGGTTCCAGGAGAGCATCTCGCCGTTGAGGAGCAGTCCATTGACCTCGATGCGGCCCCTCCAAAAGGTGGCCTGATCGTCGAGATACTCTATGCTTCCTTCGACCCCTATCTCCGCGGTAGGATGCATGATGGCAGTGTCAAGTCTTACGCGCCGCCTTTCGCTATTAACAGTCCAATCTCAAATGGCACCATCGCCCGGGTTCTAAAGTCAGACACGTCGGATTTCAGCCAAGGAGATATTGTGTCCGCATTTCTTCCTATTGCTGAGTATGCTACAGTTCCCGATGTTTCCACTGCCAATGTGCGCAAGATCAACAACCCGCATAATCTCGATCTTGGCATGTTTCTAGGCCCCTTAGGCATGCCTGGCTTAACGGCCTATTCGGCTCTCCATAAGATTGGAAAACCAAAGAAGGGAGAAACAGTATTTGTTAGCTCGGCTGCTGGCGCTGTCGGGCAGGTCGTGGGTCTAGTCGCGAAGAATGAAGGACTTAAAGTCATTGGCTCGGTTGGCTCTGATGAGAAGCTAGATTATATCATAAATGAGCTCGGATTCGACGGTGGTTTTAACTACAAGAAGGAGAGCGCATTCGATGCGCTTAAGCGCCTCGCACCCGACGGAATTGATATCTACTTTGAGAACGTTGGTGGAGACCAGCTCGATGCTGCTTTGGAGAATATGAATTCTCTCGGACGAATTCCAGTTTGCGGAATGGTACCGTTTCCCCTTCCCTTACCCTTTTTGATAGACTGTCTATGCTAACGAACAAGTAGATTTCGGGATACAACTTGCCGCGTGACCAAAGATATGGTGTCAAGAATCTCACCCAGCTCATTGCACGGCTCTTAACGATGCAAGGCTTCCTTGTTGGACAACCTGAATTCGGGCCTGCATACTTTGAAGAGCACCAGCAACAAGTTCAAAAATGGATCGCAGAAGGATCTTTCAAGGCCAAACTTCACGTCACCGAGGGTATCGACAAGGCGGCTGAAGGGTTCGTGGGACTACTTAAAGGCGATAATTTTGGCAAGGCCGTCCTGAAAATCAAGGATTAGCACATAACCATCTTGGCATCGGTACCTAGAAGTCTAGCTTGCAGGCTAGAGACGTAGCTTACATTAGGTACATACCTCCTATATGGCTTCTAATCGACCATGAATCGAGACAACCTACTGACTATGAGGTGAATATATTAAGGCTTGGCTGTGAACTAGGAGATATTAAATGAATGAAATGTCTGGCCGCTTTTGGTCCGATGTGTAGATTGGGATAGGAGCAGCTATACATAGCGAAACACATTACAAGAGTTCTGAGAACATCTACGCTCTCGCGGTCGTATGAACCCATAAATTAGTTTTACGAAGGGCTTGAACAGTGAACCGTGGACCTCTAATATAACAATTTTATGATTAGGCATATCTTAATAGCCACAACATCATCTTTAATTCTAGGTACATGTTGCGTGTGAGTAGCACGGGTATAACCCTATAGCATGTCTATACCGTTTGTAGACACACAAACTACTTGAGAAATAAGACGGTGCAAGATGGTTAAACCACATCCCGTATTAAAATCTAATAGGACTGAATGACTCCCCCCTTTCAATCCGTATAAATGCACCCTTATTTTTAATGACGAGGTAATCGAGTCTAAACATAATTATCATGATATTTCTGAACGCTTTAGTAGCGAACGAAAATAGCCGGGGGTATGTAATCCGACGCCAGGAAAATGCACCCGATGACGCACCCCTGATCCCTCTTTTGGACTCGTCTCCTAACAAACGCCATTTCCTGATGATAAGACACTTGAACAAGTCCTACTTCACGATCGGCTGAACCCCTGCTTCGCCTGCGGTTGATTAGTTGCTACCCTTCATATTAAGCGACGGGATACTTCTCTAGCTTACCTTCATCTGCTCTATTCTTGCTTTGAGTTGACTTGTGACTTCTGCTGCCCTCTTCCAATTTTCGGCTCCATTACTACCGGTTCCGGCGGCCATCGAACTTGTGGCGGACCCGGTATTGTGTCCAATCCCTTCGTCTATTGCTGCGCTTCTAAAGCCGCGAGCAGGACTTCCCCTTCCGCTTGAACCACTACCATATCTTAAATCTGGACTTAACTTGCTCCTAGGATAGTTATGTGGTGCATCGCCGTTTTCTTTCTCTTCTGAAAATGTGCTAGCGAAGCTCATTCTGTTCGCCCTAGCTCCCGGGTAGTTTGCGCCATCACGGTAGATGCCCATGTCGTCGGGAGTAGGACTCGTCATTCCCGGACTTCCAATGCCGCTAGAGACGCCAAGCCCCTCTGCCCTACTGAGTGCACGCTTGAGACGTTCAAGCTCCCGCCGGAGCCTTTCATTTACTTGCTCGGCTGCTTCTGCGTCACTCCTCGCTCGTACTAATTGAGTCTCTTTGGCCTTAATGCTAAGCACATCTCTTGTGTGGTCCTCGATGAGCCCGGCGTTGTGATTTTTGAGCTCTTGCACTTCCGACATGAGCTTGCTTCGTTCGTGTCGCATCTCATCTACTTGCTTAGTGAGCCGTTCGTTTGCCGCGCGTAGTTCCTCTAGTTCAGCGCGCTCTATGGCTGTAAGCCCACTTGACGGCGGTGGTGAGGGCGCCAAAGGCGTTACGGCGGGCACGGTGGGTTTTGCTAACGACCGTGCTGCAAGACCACCTCTTCCTAGCCCGACTCGAGGTTTTGGCTGTGGGGGTGATGCCGGGGTCTCATCCTCCTCCTCCTCCTCTAGAGGCAGAGGGGCGGCAGCGGCAGGCGCTCTACGGGGGGATGCGATGCCAGGGGCACCGAGGCGCCTTTGCGGTGCTTTTAACCCTGATAAGCCAGAAGACTTGGGCATTCCAAGCTTACTTCCCGGTGCGGCTCGAGATGTCGGTTGTGGCGCAAGGGAGGCGGGCTCTTGTGCGACAGGCGCGGCTTTCTTGGCGGTCCCGGCGGTCTTTTTGGCACCGCCACCCATCTTCTTTGGACCACCGGGCGGACCCCGTGCTACCGGAGCTGGGGCTGGCTTCGGTTTGTCTTTGGCTTTAACCTCAGCCTTCTCGAAATACTCCTTGATTTTGGTTTTTCGTATATCGTCTAGGCCTTCTAGATGAGGGTTCATGGCACGTTCACCAATTATCTTCATAACTGTACCTAGAACCTCGGCACCACCGGACCTCAACCCTTCGCTACCCTCCGCGAGTAGCTTCTTCGCGGCTTCTACAATACTGGCGACTTCTTGCTTGTTTGGGGGATCCCGGGTGGTTCTAAGACAGCGGACAAGGAACCTCATGCTTCCTTCTTTTACCTGAGGATTCTTGTGGGGAAGAAAGGAAATGATTTCCTCCAAACAGTCAGACAAGCTTGTCGCCAGAAAGACTTGGTCTAGTGCAGCTCCTAGTGCGTCCGCAACGGTCTGCTTTTTCTCCTTTAAACGTTCCATGATTGGCGTCATAACGATTGACCGGTATTTACTATAACTTTTTCGAAGACCCTTTGCGAGTACTTCGATACATTGGGCCGCCTGGGTGACGACGGCTATATTGGCGTCTTTCATGCATTTCGCCAAGCCACGGTTGATCTCGTTGAAGTCGCCATCTTTGATTCTTGGTACGTTGAGTACAGCAAAGAGCGCCTCCAGAGCCTCTTTACGATCCTTCCACTTCGAAGATGCAAGATTGTCGTGAAAATTAGCCGGAACTTTGGATATGACGTCTTGGGGTTCCGCAAGATCGAATGCATCAACTTCGACTGGCTCATCAATTCCGTCGTCGTCGTCCACCTCCTCTTCAGCCCCGGGCGGCGGAGCACGAGCCAAAGCTGCCTGTTGAGTTCGTAAAAGGCGTTCCTGTTTTGGCGACGGCTCTGTTTTAATTTTTTCAAACTGGGTTTCTAGATCAGACTGCTGTGTGGGCTTTAAATCACCCCAGAACATAGGCTTCATCGCATCCCTCAGCCATCGGTAGAATTCAACAGCTAGATTGGTTGCTTCGGCTCGCACATTCTTGTCCGCGTGTCCAAATGCTTTGGGGAGGACCTTAAGGACCGGCTTTGGGTCGGCTATCTTGCAGCCGTAGCTGTGGAAGATGGTCGTGAGGGCTGCTAAAGCAGCTGCGATGACTTTGGGTTGCTTCGCAGATACAGCTGGGAGGATATCCTCGACAATGGGACCGGCGGCATCGAGCTCGATAAGAAGCAGTAGAGCCTCGACCGAGGAAGCTTTGGTGGCAGGCCTCGTGGACACAAGGCCCTTCTCGACGATGGGAGTGACAACATGACCACGTGAACGAACGCAACATTCCTTACCACCGAACTTGAGGAACGCGCAGAATGCTGCAATACCGTCGGACTGAGCGGCAACGTTTGAATCTGCGACCGCACCCTTCCACAAACTCGGATCTTGGTTGAATGGTCGAAAAGCTGGATCGTATTCGTCTGGAGTGATTTCAAATTGCTTTGCTGCCTCTTCGTATGCCTGCTTACGAACTTTCCAAACCTGTTCACCCGATATTGTTTTAGAACCGACGCCAGGACAAGGGGGGAATATATGATGATGGCACGCACCTTGTGTACCCATCTATCTGTTAATGGAAGAGAGCTGTAGTCGGGCTCTCCGTCCGCCATATTCACGATCGGACAGTTACGATCGACCGTCGGCGATACCGATGTGTTATGTGCTTTGCGATTAGGGGTGGGTTGAGTCGACTTCCTTCGGGCGCGACGATGCGATAAAGTCGAGGCTACTCTCTTGATTAGTTTTGGTAGAACTGGCACCTTGAGGAGGCGAAGACGCATTTTGAGTGTAGAGGTTGCGAGAAGCGCGGCGAGACAAAGAGTTTAGGATGGAGTTGAGAGAAGATCAATGCGTCTTCCTCATCTCTTGTTCCCCGTTTCTCGTCCACCGTGCTCGTCCTTGGCCCCCGTTCCTCACCTCAGGCTTCAAGTTCCTCGCGGAAGGGGCTGCTAACAACGGCTTTGTTGCTGCTATTGTAGTTGAGGCGCTTAGGGATTCGTAGGGCATATGGAAAAAGGAGTGGGTGAATGTCTTGTGTAGAGACGTAGAGAAATTGCAGGCCTCGGGTCATGGGCCAGGGGAACAAGAATGGTTATAATGAAGAGGCAGAAAGATTAAACATACATTGTTTTCATGGGATAAGCTTTAGAGTTAAGCCAATCAATATATTCAATATGTTATGCTCTATGTTTACTCTTTCCCACGGTTCACCTTGTGCAAACTTCAAAGACTTGGATGATTTTGCGGGGAGCAATCTTAAAAAATGTATGTATGTTTTGTTGAGGCGATACACAGTATATCGGGTATCGGGTATAAGGTACGTAACGGCAAAGGTGGCGCTTGCTTTATTTGAAGTTTAGGACGCTTACTCTTTGATTAGAAAGGCTGGACTGTATCGCGTGGAATTTCGAATGTTGTAGGGCGCAAAATTGGGACATGCGTCTTTGAAGTTGACGATGACGATGGAAGGTTATTGCTTTCCAATTTATTCTTTTTCTACATATATACAATGGATGTCTTAGGTTATGTACATAAGTATGTATCTACCCGGTAGTTTATTGGCCAGATTTAAAAATAAATACTGGGGTACCGCGCTTGACTTGTTGACGTAGCGACTCCTGGTGCTATGTATTAGATCGGGGCAACTAGTACTTGTATTATTTGCATACACGCAAGTATCCCATAAACCTTCGTGTAAACAAGTCGTTTTGATGCCAGTATTTACATAGTTATACCTTTATAATTATTCTATTTGGTCATAATTTCCAATGTGAATTTGGACAGTAAATAAGAACAATGTTTAGGTTTAATTATTTCGTTTCTTAGTATAAAGTTGAGTGTTTACGTACCTAATATTATGTAATGAGGTATCTTTAAGCGATGCTACCTATTGCTGTAGATTTTATGTCTGGTCTATTAGCATACGCGCATGCCCGGGTATGTAGTACTTGCGTGGTACATCTATGTACCTAGGTACGGGTCGAGAGGTGTGGCTTGTGCTCCTCTGTTTCCCCGGAGGCCGGGCAAAGCCATGTGGCTTCACATGTCTTGTCGGGTCTCCATCTCCAATAGGCATGCTTCCCTACACTTCCCTAGAATGTACCTGATATCTAATATCTACCTTAATGTTTGTACATTACCTAAAGGTGGGAATGGTACTTACCTACATACCTAACCTACATAGGTAGTTAATGCATTACCAGAACACATCAAGAAACAAGTCAATATCTGGGATTGTTGTCTTTCCAATTTTTTCCCTCTCCTGTCAAAAGGTCTTAGAAGCAACAAATTGACGATCGTGCCTTTTCCTTCACCATCCCGACATGTTGCCCCGAGCGTATACGAAGGTATCTGCTTGATTGAATCTGGATTTTGTCCCTTTTACGCATTCATAGCGACAACTTCAATTATATCTCTTCTCTCCGGCGCAACCCTAAATTATGATCCAACCAAGTCTCGGCCTATAACTTCCTATTAAACGTTTCGATCCGCCAACCCGCCAACTAACCTGCCTACTTATACACCTACGTCAATACCTATATCGCCTTTCCCCCTACGTTATACTCTGCCTGGTTGACTTTCCTACTGGTTCTCCCTCGCGGGTTGCCAGCAGTCCGTCCACTGTTTGGCCCTCGTGTCGTTTCTACTTTTGGTACAAAGCTTCATTCGATTTGGCCTAGGAAGCCTTTCCGACGTCTCTTGTTCCCTGGTAACAAGCATAAACAAGGCTTTGGTGACACATTATTGTCGTTTACACTTCTTTGTGTGTGATCATCTTCTGAGACTACCGACGCATTGTGTGTGGGCAACTACCGTCTTTGTTGCCTCCTCGCTCTCTTGAGTGCTGCTTATAGCCTTCTGAGGTTATATTGACTGCTCGCAATCTCTCTAAAGCATAGGACCTTCATACTTTTGCATTACTACGTCCATGAACAGCCTCGTGTAGTAAACTGGACAAAATGAGCCAAATTCTGACCCCTCGACAAGCTGAAGAGCTGTACGTTTTCCATCTCAGTCTTCCCCCACTTCTTAGAGAACAATGAGATAACAGCCGATGCTAACTTATATACTAGACACAAGGCCATTATTGCGTACCTGTCATCGAACAACCTGCCTAACACGGCAGCTGCCTTACGGGAAGAACTGAACCTTGGTGACACGTTCGATACTGCTACTTCTAAGAAATATGAGGGACTTTTGGAAAAGAAATGGACCAGCGTTGTGCGATTACAGAAGAAGGTACGGGAGATGAAATCCCCTCTTGTATGCTGCTACCCTCTACTAACATGTGCCGCGTTGCTATTAGATTATGGAACTAGAGTCGAAAACGGCTACTCTACAGTCGGAGTTGGATAATGCGACACCTACCTCTCTATCCAAGCGGAACCAAGACCCGTCTAGTTGGCTCCCTCGATCTCCGCCCCGTCATACCCTGGAATCTCACAGGGGCCCTATTACCTGTGTCGCCTTCCATCCTGTTTTCTCTTCCTTAGCCACGGGTTCCGAGGATTATACGATAAAAATTTGGGATTGGGAGCTAGGAGAGCAGGAGCGCACAATCAAGGGGCATACAAAAGCAGTGCTGGATGTGGATTTTGGTGGTCCTAGGGGTGGGACCCTTCTGGCATCGTGCTCGAGTGACCTGACTATCAAGCTGTGGGATCCTTCCGATGAATACAAGAATATTAGAACTCTACCCGGGCATGACCACAGCGTTAGCGCCGTTCGCTTCATCCCGTCAGGTGCAGCGGGTGCACCAAGTTCTAGCAACCTTCTCGTATCTGCTTCTAGAGACAAGACGTTACGTTTATGGGACGTGACGACGGGCTATTGCGTCAAAACTATACGAGGACATGCAGATTGGGTCAGGGATGTTTGTCCGTCCCCGGATGGCCGTTATCTTCTATCCGCCGGAAATGATCAGACTGCTCGCCTTTGGGATATTTCGCTTGCTAACCCTGAAAGCAAGCTGACACTCGTCGGCCATGAACACACAGTCGAGTGTTGCACTCTTGCTCCCCCATCAACTTATCAATATCTTGCACCACTTGCTGGATTGAAAAAGCCGCCTCCAGCATCGAGCACTGCGGAGTTTATGGCAACAGGTTCCCGAGACAAGTCGATACGTATCTGGGATGCGAGAGGCAACTGTATTAAGACCCTTCTTGGACACGATAACTGGGTAAGAGCATTGGTGTTTCACCCAGGCGGTAAATACCTCCTCAGTGTGTCCGATGACAAGACGTTACGGTGCTGGGATTTGGCTCAGGAAGGGAAAAATGTGAAGACTCTCGTAGACGCGCATGGCCACTTTGTTTCCTGTTTGAGGTGGGCCCCGGGCATTATACGCGAGCCCGTGACGAACGGGTCAGGCGAAGGTTTAAATGGCACATCTCTAAACGGCATTGCGAAAGCTGCGGCTGTTGCTGATGTTCAAATCCGGTGTGTTATCGCAACCGGGTGTGTGGACTGTAAGCTGAGGATTTTTGCCAACTGAAGCCACCAATACGGTATGTGATAGGACATGAAAACATGTGTCGTTCTGGCGTCACTTTGACGATCTTAGCTTCCGCTAAAGCTTCAGAGCTTTTATGGTCGGAGTAACGAGGTCTCGAAGCCAAAGGTTGGGGCATGTATCTTCAGATACTGCCTCGAATATTGTTGCCGTAGAAAACCGCAGACACTGCAAACACGCCGTTCTTCGAGGCGGCACGGGAAGATGACTAGAAACGAGCTTTAACCCTACGGATCTAGGAGATTAAAGAACGGGGCGGGCGGGCTGGTAGGGAGGGCGAACTTGATGAAGGGAAGAAGTAACGAGATTTGTTGGCGTTGTTAAGTCCAAGGTTGGCGTCATTTTCTGTGGTGCTATTGCATCGTTCAGGCTGATCAATGGTCGTGGCAGCACCGTAGATATGGAAGAAAATAGATACCCTATCATTGCATACCGAGGAGAGACTTGAATATACGATCTAGCATTGAGCTAGTTTATTCCCATATTTTTCATATTGTTCTCACGTACGTAAGAAGTTGAGTCCCTAACCTAGGTAATATAAGTTATGTGAAGCTCAGTTCAAATCATGCGATATAATTCGACTCCTTCTATCTAGAAAAGGGGTGTATGCTTCTAAGATTGCCGTATAAGCCTAGGAGATAAGTTTATGAGGCGCATATAGTAAAAACAGGTACATAGTATGGAATACTGTATTTATACCTGCTAAACTGCATGCTTATGTATTTAGGTACATAGGTAGTGACTTATTGGTAATGGTAGTACGCAGCGGGGTTCTGGGTACCTTAGGTAGTTTGCGCAACTTTTTGTTATCTAAGGTACAGTGTGAGATGATGTGCCTAGGTGCACGCACCTCAACTTGTACTACCTCCATGTACGGTACCTGGTGTAAACACATGCAAGTACGGGTGACTAACATGTAATACATGTAACGTGTATCAAGCATTGAAGCAGGCACGCCCGGCCTCCGCAATTCAAATTCCCCGGCCAAGACCCAAGAAGTGGGAAATTCGAGACTTATCGGGCTGACATGGACTTCTTTCTTACCTACAACCTCCAATCTATTACATATCTCAACCCCATTTTTATCTAACAGTATAGCTTGATCTCCTACTTCTATATCTTCTTCATGTTTTTGAACAAGTTGTGCTTTCCATCTTTTCGTCTAACCTAGCCATTTCTCATTTTTAACAACTTAAAGATACCTTGCTCAGCCCTTCCCCCTTCCCCCACCAAGCCATTTATTCCCCTTTATTACTTCGACTCCAGCGGCGGATTAAGACGGGGTGGACTCAAGGAATCCAATTACCATACACACCTCCTTACCTTATTTAGCTAAACAACAAGCGCCCGAATCCACAATCGCTGCCTGATCATATCTTTATTTTCTATCCCCATCTGTATCTTGCCTTTGGCATACAGACATCGAAATCTGGATTAGCAGTATTTTGCGATTGGCTTATGTAGTTTAAGGGGTCCCAAGGTGCGAATAAGAAAGTACCGGACCAAAAACCCGACAATTCCATTCCATTTCGACGGATAGAACCGACCGTCGGAAAAAAAAAATAATCGAGAAATTTCCTACCTAACCACACGTGGGAAACCCACATAATCTATACCTGTGACGATATTACAATTCATTTCGCCCTTATTTTTCCCCCGCGCGCGCCACCAAACTTGGCTCCGATCCGACCAGACGACCAGACCCGGGTAAAGGACAGGCCTTCGTATGCCGAATCCCACTCCCTGCACCCGCCGTCTATCTGCACTCGTATTCACCTCGACACACGTATCTCTACTCTTGCTAGTCCGGTGCCGGTGCAGCCCTACCGGCGCAGTGACATAGGGCGCCGCCCCCATTACGAATCGACATGTTCTGGAGATTTGGCGGTTACGCCAACATCTCGACTATTGATACCATTCTCGATAAGCCTGACTTCCAACTCGAAGATCTGCTTGATGAGAGCGACCTAATCCAGGAACTGAAACAGCACAACACTAAGCTCATCGAGTATTTACGCGAGTCCAAGGTGCTCGAGAAGCTCCTCGAATATGTTATCACACCGAAACTTGAACCTGTAGAAGTTCCCGAAGAGGAAGCCAACGAGGATGAGAAGAAGGGCAAGTCTAGGGCCCTATCTTTTGGCCGCCCACGTGCCTCATCAAGAGCAACTAGCGATGGAACCGAGGAGGATGAGGCTGAGAAGAAGAGGAACAGATATGCTTATGTTGCCGCTGAAGTCCTCTCCTCCGATAATTGGTCCATCTACGAAGCTTTGATGGAAAGCCACCAACTTCTGCGTAACTTTTGGAATTTCCTTAAACACCCGTCTCCCTTAGATCCCCTCCAGGCGAGCTATTTTACCAAGGTCAACGAAGCCTTGTTCGATAAAAAGACGGAGGAAATGCTGGATCTCTTGAAGTCTCTTGACGATGCGGTCCCCAACATGCTACGTCATGTCGATTGTCCCATGATAATGGATCTCCTGCTTAAGATCATTAGCCTTGAGAGAATAGAGAACGGTCAAGGTATAGTTGAGGTGTGTTCAGATATCCAAGGAGACCGATCGGTCAGTCAGCTCACAGTATATTGCTAACACGAACCCGCTGGAACTAGTGGCTTTACGGTAAAGATGTCATGCCGACGCTGCTCTCATTTCTTGGGCCGGAGCACAGTTCTGCTACGCAGACGTCTGCCGGTGACTTCATCAAGGCTATCATCACTGTCTCCGCCAATGCCTCGCAGAACGAGCAGGCCTGCATCGGTCCGAATGAGCTTACACGCCAACTAGTGTCCAAGCCTTGTGTCCATAAGCTAATTGGATACATGCTTGATGGTGGGAATCCCCTTACTGTTGGCGTTGGGATTGTCATTGAGGTTATCCGCAAGAACAACTCCGATTATGATCCGGATGTTGGCCCTGATTCGAATGCCTTGCCCTCTAGTCGCGATCCTATTTATCTAGGTACCCTGCTCCGGCTCTTCGCCGACCACGTCCCCGCCTTTATGACAAAAATTCTCAATGCCCCGGTCTCTTCCCAAAGGCAGCGGTTAGATTCTACCTTTGGAGAGAAGATCGAGCCTCTCGGTTTTGATCGGTTCAAGACCTGTGAGCTCATGGCCGAACTCCTCCATTGTAGCAATATGGCGCTGCTCAACGAAGTTGGTTCGGAGCAAGTGATCGCGCTTCGAGACGAAGAACGCCAGCGACTACGAGTCGAGGGCCGACTTGCAACAAATCGCGGCGAGGAGGTACAATCATCGGAGGATCTGACTATGCGCATGCGCCACTCCTCTCCAGATGATGCCCGCCGCCTAGAGATCACAAACGCTTCCGATGATGACGGATTTGAGGAAGTTACTCCATTAGGTGAAATGACCGAAGATACATCGCATGAGTTCGTCAAAGCCGAGGACGAAATTCCTACCGGACAAGTCTCGTCATTTCTCGACAGGGACGATGAAGATTTCGTGGAAGAGCCTCTCAGCTCTCCAAGGCTAAACGTCCATGATAGTAATCTCAATGAGCAGCAATTCGAAAATCCCGAGCTCATGGTTGCGCCTCTCTCCCCGAAGAAACCGACCGCTACTCCGAAGTCGGTGCAAGAACAGAGTGATGTTCCCGTAGCCAATTCGCAGCCGTCACAGGTGTCCCAAACGACCACTGGGCCGCTCCAGGTAAAGACACCAGATCAAAAGCATGATGGCGGGCCTTCTGTATCAGTTGACGTTCAAACACTACAGTTACAAGATGTGTCTAAAGAGTCTCCTACAAGCAACCCCGAGGCTACAGAAAGCTCTACTATGACAGGAGAGAAGTCTGCTGTGAATGATGCGCCTATAGAAAGTGAGCCGAGTGTAGTTCCTCGCGAGCCTTTACAACCAGAGTCCGAGAATGCGGGAAGTGTCCCCGTTGTTCAAGCTCATCAGCCCGAGTTGGTTCTATCTGGAAATATAGAACAGCGCCTTGAGCCAGTTGTCGGCGATTACCTCAAGATGCAATTTGTGGAACATCAAGTTGTGCCAACGATACTAGTAAGTGATCTTAAATGATATTGTTTATTCCAGGAAGCTGATTTTGAATAGTCCTTTTTTTTCAAATATCCCTGGAATAACTTTCTCCATAACGTTGTTTATGACATCGTCCAGCAAGTATTCAATGGACCTATGGATCGCGGCTATAACCCTACTCTAGCAATCTCATTGTTTGAGGCTGCTGATATCACCAACGCTATTATTAACGGCCAAAGATCCAGCGAGCAGTCCCAAGCTCGAAATAAGACCCGGATGGGTTATATGGGTCATTTGACGCTTATTGCTGAAGAAGTGGTGAAATTCACGGAGCGGAATCCACCAGAGCTCCTTTCGGAGCTTGTCTTGGATCGCGTCATGAGCCAGGACTGGATTATGTATGTTGAGGGTGCCCTCGCGGAAACAAGGGAGAGGGACAATGCCATCCTTGGAGGAGTTAGGCCCGAAGTTGCAATGAGCAACAGGACGCAGATGGGTGGCAATAGTCTGGGTGGTATGGGCTTGTCAAGCCTGGGACTTGGTAGCGCCCAGGGTGGCGGCTCCAACGCGCTTGCTGAGGCAGGGTTAAATGGCACTGGGGGTAGTATGGAAACACAGGATAATGGCAGCGGAAGCAGCATCGGACCTTTCAGCATAAGCTCTGGCTTGCTATCGGGATCCGGCTTCGGCAGCTCAAGTGATGAAGAAGAAGACGAAGCAGAAGATAATGAAGAGGATGTTAATAATGAGGTAACTTGTCCCTGGCGCGATACGATTATCTTTGGTTTCTTATGATGCATCTCACCTCAACAGCCCACGTGCAAAAGCGATCATATATTATTGAGTCAAATGCACTTACTGATAGTTCAATAGTTTCGCGCCTATACAGATTCACTGAATGCGGCTTCTTCGTCATCAATGGATCCCCCTTCTGTTCCGCCCCCGCCTCCACCACCACCGCCACTAAACATTCCTCCATCACGCGCACGTCTACAACTGGCTGCGAGGCTCGCGATGCACCAGAAGAATTCTGGTGGCTCATCGACCCAGCCAGGAGGGATAGAGGGTAATCAGGAAACCGATGAGACCATACTCGACAGGGAATCTGAAAGTATCCTCCGCAATCCTTTTGAGGATGATGGAGAGGATGACGTAGACGACGACAGTGACGACGGCCTTGCTGATGATGATAACAATGCCGAGTCTTGGGGTGCGGGGCCATCTAGAGGGAGCTGGTGGCGAGGAGCTTTGCGACGAGGTAAGGAAAGGTTTGGGGATGGTAGGGACGATTCCGACTCAGAAAAAGATGAACAAGCTAGAGGGGACGAGGAGGACGAGGAATTTGGGGATTTTGCGATGCCCGAGGTCGACAAAGACGGGAGCAATGAAAAGGGTGGAGTAATCGTAAAGCCACTTCCTGTTCACCCGTCCTCCCAGAGTCAAAAGGCGTCGGCCTTCACTAGCCTCTGGCCGTTCGGGTCAAAGGATAAGGAGAAACAGAAGGTCAAAGACAACGATGTACCGGCGGAGAGTCCGGTGGAGGTTACGGGTGAGATTACGGGTGACGATGGAGAAAAAATCAAGAGCACGCATGAAGCAACCCGAAGAACAAGCATTGAAGACCCTGATGATGAGGAGGTGGTTGTTTAGGAGCTGGCGTCTGAAACGGATGAGGCTCTATACGATGGCTTTGTCAATGTTCCTCATGGCTCAGATGGATGATACCCCGTAATCAATATTGCGAAGATGATGCTCCAATGGAGTCGCGGGCCTTGTACCGCGCGATAAATGGGATATGGCAACGAGGATTATCGGGCGCGTTTGTATTATATGCGGTTCTAGAAATGGCTGTTTGCATGTTTTACGGGTTTCTCTCCTGTACAGTAAGTAGTCCGGAATGGTACGAGATTATGGATGATGTTCCGATATGATAAATTTTATGAGAGTACAGTAGACGCAGGAATGCCTCAAGGATTCCTCGGGTACCGATGCTGCAAGTCCACGTTGGCTGGACCTTGCTTTTCCATGTCGGGATTTAAGAACAGATAAAACAATCTTATGATGGATGTCATATAAGTAAGTCAAGCTGAAGTCAAGCTGATGTTGGCTTGGATGGATTCATTGGCACGGACATGGATGACACGGACTAAGTAGATCGCCACGTGTATTGATATACATACCTACATGGTATACCTATGTGAATATATCCATCTGCTTATGTGGCGCGCATGGGCTCGTTTCTGGGCGATGACCTCACGGTGTTTTATGAATGCGGCGTGGTATTGCGTAGATGCGTTGATCGTAAGGGATATTGAGGTTGGTGGAAGCTAAAGAATAACGGGTAGTCAAGGATTCGCACCCGTCAATGCGTTTCTTTTAAGGATCTGAGGATTTATTCCAAGGAAAACCACTGCGTCGGCCGAGGGAAGATGATTGGTGACGTGAGTAGGAATCAAATCCTTGGAGATTCCGGAAGATCTTTAGAAAACTGAAGTTCCAGCTTATGTCGATCTAGGCCTATGAGACTTGTGCGATGTGCTGCAATCTAAACCTAACTGAGATTAGATCTGGCATAAGTTCTCCTTATTTTTAGCTCAACTAACATGCCGTGTACAATGGGGGAAGGGATGGGGGGTAGGGGGGGGGGGTTGACTTTATATCTCTCTAGGAACTCCGGCTTACGCTGTTTTCACTTCTTCATAGTACGTCAGCCCCAGCCTCAAACCGCAAAAGGATTATGTATATATGTATTTCAATTGTTGGTCGTAGCTAGGATCTTCCTTACACGGCCAAGATGGCTACCTGCAGAGAGTCTGCCGGATCCCGACATTTTTATCTTTGAAGGAAATCCTATAATCCAATGTCCACTTCACCCAAGCATATCTAGATAGCAATATCATGCCCTTTTATTTCCACGTATTATCTCTTAATCTCTTTTTCCTACACTTTTTCTATTTCAATGTCATACCACCTGCAACTTAATGGGGCCTTCGTGAACATCCAATATAAAATGCTCTCTTTACTATAGCTAACGGTTCGTTTTCGAACGCGGAACCCATTTGTTGTCATATGTGCCCTTCCTATATTACCTCCCTTCATCTCTAGCGATGGAGTACCGGATAGGAGAAAGCTTCTTGATACTGTCCTCCTCCGAGGAATCGGACGAGCTATCTGAACCCCAACCGGACAGGATAAATCGCGAGCCCCGTGGTTTGTCAAACAGAGCAAATAGCACGCTCAAAAAGAAGAACCTTTTTATTAACACTTCCTTTGACATAAATAAGCCAGATAGCCAAAATAATGCCGGGCAGCTTCTAAGATCTGAGGTGGCTAATGCTCTAGGCATTGACGCGAGGTCTCTTCCCCAGTCGTTCCATGGTTTGATAGGGGATTATGACGATTCTAGCTCTGTATATTCCTGTTCGAGTAATAACCAGCAGCTTCTGGATGGATCGAAGCTAGCGGGTAGAGAAGATTCTGTGGGCCCAGTCTCGGACTATTCACCCCCAGTTGATTCTGCCGAATGGAGGAAGTCAATAGGTGACTTGGTCGAAAAGCGCCTTAGTGCCGCTATGACTAGCATCCTCGGGGCTGATGGCGGATCGATGCCTCTAGATGAATCGTTCCTGGATCTTGGGGGCAATTTCCGGAAGGCTAGAGAGCTTCGAGCGGAGTGTATGGACGCGGGTCTAGCTATCAAGACCAGGGATATCATGAACTCCAAGACTATCGCCGAGCTTAAGACACATATAACGCCGCTTATACCTCGTAAACTTTCGGAGAGAACGATCCAACCCACGACTGTTAGCCCACTCGAACCAGGGTCGCTAGAGATCCAATCAGACAAATATCAATATCAAATGCCAGACTATTCTCAACCTCCAGCAATTCCACCCAAGGCGGCAGCTAGATACTCCCTCATCCAACCACAGCTCAGACCTACAGTATCCAGGAGACGTTATGCTAGAGTTGAGAAAATTCTCTATCAACATAGTGATGTTTCGAAAGCTTCTGTGCTCAAATCAAAGGCTGGCCCATTTGAGGGCCGGCTCGTGGCATTTGCCACCCTGACATGCTGTGTGGTGGATGGCCCAGATGACTGCGAAGTTAAACTACAGAGCCCTTATTATACCATCAAGCTGCCATCTATTCGGAACGTAGTTGAGTCCCAAGTACCGCCGAGTCTTGTTCCCAACGTCTGGATCGTGCTAGAAAAGATGCCCTTAGACGATTCCGGTAATATTAACCGGAGAAAGTTACAAACATGGATTCAAAACGTCAATGACGACGTATATCATCAAATTTTGTCCATCGACTCGAGGGCGAATTTAAGACAACCCACAAATGTAATCGAAAGGCGCCTCCAGAAGACGGCAAGTAGGGTGCTGCAGATGGATCAAACCGGTATAGGCATGAATATGTCGTTCGCAAGCATGGGTGGCGATGAGAAAGCCGCAACAAAGTGTGCAGCCGAATGCGAATCTCGGGGTATTTGCCTCGATACAGAAGATATCATGCAAGCAACTTCATTAACTGAACTTGCTGCCCTTGCAACGTCAAGTAAGTCGCATTCGCGCAATATAGACGGCATCCCGGTAGATACCTTCGAACTCTCACCTATGCAGCGTTTATATTTTCATACCTCGATGGGTAGCGACGTTTACCAACGAGAAGCTAGGAACAGCGAGTACAGGTTCAACCAGAGCATATTATTTCGACTGAAGCGAGCTATAAGCGTCGAGGACGTGACGGCGGCGGTAGAGGCTGTCGTCGGTCATCATTATATGCTTAGATGTCGGTTTCGACGTAGCGGAAGTTCCTGGTGTCAGTCGATAGAATCTGATATATCATCTTCATATCATTTTGCACACCATACAGTTACGACGGACGCCGAAGTTGAAAAAGTGGTTAGAGCCTCCCAAGAGACGATCGATATCGAGACAGGCCCTGTCTTTGCTGCCCACCATTTCCACACCCGCGACGGTCGCCAGATGCTCTATATGGTTGCTCATCATCTTGTCGTCGATTCAAAGTCGTGGCACGTCATAGCAGATGACTTGGAAGGGTTACTTACTAAGGGGTATCTCATATCCGGCCACACCCTCTCTTTTAGAGAATGGACGCTTCACTATAGACATCGCATACGGGATATGGAACTCCCTTTCGACGTACCAGTGGGAAACTATAAATACTGGGGAATTGATCCTGCCTTTAACAAGTACGGGAATACGCTGGCTACCGGATTTACGCTCAGTGCAGATGTTACCCTAGCTCTTGAAGCTAGCTGTCGAGCGCTTCAAACGGGTCCCGTAGACCTTTTCATAGCTGCTCTTATCCTTTCATTTGCGCAGGGTTTCCACGACCGCCCACTACCGACTCTTTGGAAGCAAGTAAATGAAAGGTCCATATTCGGAACGGGGCGAAATGTATCAGAGACTGTGGGATGGTTCACCTCGCTCTGCCCGGTGGCTATTGACTCTTCTCCAACGGACACCATTTCAACTATACTCGGCCGAGTCAAGGGTTCAAAACATGCTACCACTGACAAAGGTGCCTTGAAGTTTACTAAGAATCTAATAGATAGCCCCTCTGCCCTTTCTTTTATTTCCTCCTACTGTCCTCTCGAGCTCATGTTTACTTATGCTGAGACAACGCAAAACGTACAGCGTCAAGACACCGTATTAGAACAACTTCCTACGTTAGGTAGGATGCTAGCTCCAAGTATGTTAGATATCGGAAGCCATGTCGGACGTCTCGCCGTATTCGAGGTTTCAATATCAGTCGAGGGAGGTGAGACTAATGTCAACATTCTTTACCATAAAAATTCCGCACATCAAGAGAAGATACATAGTTGGTTTTATGGTTACGAGAAGATACTCCGCCAAACTGCAGAAGGGCTACAGTATGAAAGTTCCGGGATATCTTCATCTGACGTTCTTCACATAAGCGTCACTGATGAGGAGCTTAACCGACTAAATACGACAATCCTACCACGCCTCAATCTAAATATTTCCAACATCGAGGCTATTTATCCCGCAACAGAAACTCAGCAGGATATTATTATAAACCAGGCCTTAGTGCCGGGGAGTTCTAGGGCGTTGATGATTTGCGATCTCGAGACGTCTGATCGGCCTGTTGACATTTCGCGCATCTGTGCTGCTTGGCTTCAAGTAACATCAAAACACTCCGCTCTAAGAACTGTCTTCGCTGAAAGCGCCTCAAATAAGGGCCTATATGACCAGATAGTTTTAAGATCTCATTCGCCTACCATGCTTTTCCTTGAAAGCGACACCGTCGAAGATGCAATGGCATCTATTGACAACCTACCCCCTTTATCATTAAATGAAGGTATTCCTTGGCATAGGCTCATTGTATGTCAAGTAGCTGGAAAGACTTTCGTAAAGCTGGAAGCTAGTCAAGCAGCATGCGACGTATGTTCTTTACTTCCTTATAACCTTTCCTGATAACTGATTACAAGTCAAGGTTGCCAGCATGGCCATTCTCTTCAAAGAAATCGAGCAAGCCTACTTCCATGGCCTAATCCCATCTGGGCCCAAAGCATCCTATCCTCAATATGCGCAATATTTGAAAACAGCTTCTTCCAATATTGACTTTTGGAAGAGACATTTGGGGGATATACAGCCGTGCTCATTTCCCATACTCGTATCACAGCCTCATATCCTAAGCGGGTGGGAGACCATGTCTATTGATCTTGACATTCCATGCGAGAGGCTAAAAGATCTTGCTAACGAATACAACATAGACATATCTACCATACTTACAGTTGCCTGGGGTTTACTGTTACGAAACTATACCGGGAAAGACAGTGTCTGTTTCGGGCATCGCATTGCCGGTAGAGATTTCCCCGTCGAGAACTTGAGAAATACTGTTGGTTCATTTTCAACTATTTTGGCATCCAAGCTTGAAATCCGCGCTGAAGAGTTCGTCGCACAGCTGTTGCTAAACGCGGAAAGGGATCGTATACAAGCACTTAATCATCAGAACGTACCCATAAGGAGGGTTGAACATGAACTACATATCAGAGGTGGCCGCTTATTCAACACCTACCTTTCGTTCGGATATGAATACATCTCGCATGAGACCTCTACAAGTTCGAAATGTCAACACATCAGGACCGAGCAAGCCTCAGAATACGATGTCGGTGTTGATGTATACTTCCACGATGGGAATATCACAGTCGACATTGGATACCGCATACTCAACTCCGATCAAGCAATAACCGTAGCATGTGCCTTTGGGAGGGCTGTTGAAGCCATCCTGGACTCACCAACTATTATAGTTCAGGAGGTAGATCTGTTCACTATGCGCGATCATGAGCAAATCTTGGCATGGAATAGCATGCCTCAAGCTGACATACCTAAGGGGCATGTGCACGACTTAGTTGCGCACCAAGCTTCGTTAAATCCCGAAATTCAAGCCATCTGTGCGTGGGATGGGGACTTGTCTTATGGCAATCTACATGATTTGTCCATAGTCCTTGCTAAACATCTCTTAGCTTCTGGGCTGAAGCCGCAGATGCCCGTACCAGTGGTGATGGACAAGAGTCGCTGGGCTGTGGTGGCTATGCTAGCGATACTCCAGTAAGCTGATATCTTGTGAAGTTAAACCATATACTGACCGCTCTAGCGCTGGCGCAATTTTGGTACCTCTTGACGTTGAGATCCCCTCGATCATTCCTTGGTCGATCCAAAAAGTCAGTGCCGATTTCGTGCTCTGCTCTACCAGCTCTCGGAGGCATGTGGATAGTCTTGGAGTAAAGGTTATCATTGTAGACCAAAACGCGGTCCTAGCTATGTCGGCGCAAACTGTTGATATGGACCTTCTTCATCCTGCGCCCTATGAAATAGCGTGCATTCTCTTCAGCGCCGAACCCACTGGGACCTTCAAGTGCATCTCATATAGCCACGGATCTCTAGCAGCAGCTTGCGTCGGGCAGGGTTCTACGCTACTGATCAACCCATCTAGTAGGGTCATGCAGCTTTCTTCGTATAATATCGATATTGCGCTTTCGGAAACATTCACCACCTTGGTTAACGGAGGCTGTGTCTGTATCCCTTCAGCCTCGGAGAGGATTACGGGCTTCTCCGAAGCTACCAGACGCATGCATATTAACTGGATATGTTTGACACCGACGTTGTCAAGGAAATTAGACCCAGAAAGCCTACCGGACCTTTCCATTGTCTGTATCCGTGCACGGCACCTCGACGATGATGTCTATGCACCGTGGATCGGCAAGGTTAAGGTATTGATGGCGTATGGTTCTCCTGAAGCTGGCCCCCTTGCACTTTCTGCCACCGAAGTGACCGATTCTAAGGCTTCGCAATGCTTCGGTAACCCATTCTACGGAAACTTCTGGATAGTGAGCCGTCAAGATAGCAACCGGCTCATGCCAGTGGGCGCTCTTGGTGAACTGATAATAGGAGGACCGGCACTTGCTACCGGGTTGGATATCCATGAACCTGATATCAAGACCTGGGTTGAAAAGAGTGCAGTTTCTCCAATGTCGCTACTAGAAAAATCGGGGAGTCGCCTACTCAAGACTGGAGATTATGCCCGATATCTTGAAGATGGTAGGATTGAGTTCGTCTTAGATGATGGCGGGGATGCAGAAATTAACGGTAAGAAATTTCGTCTTTCGGTTGTCGAGCCAAAGCTTCGGCAATGTCTGGGTCGTGGTATCGATGTAGTGGTTGAAACGATTGCCTTCAACGACTCTAACTCGGACCCGATCCTAGCTGCATTCGTCGATTTCGGAGATAATGCATTGAAAAAGGGTGAAGGCTTTTCAAACCTCAGTCGTACTACAAAGGAGAGATTGTACCTTTCTAAGAAGATAGGGAATATGGCGCTCCGAGATACTTTGCCGAGTTATATGGTACCCTCGGCGTATATACCTGTTAAGGGTATGCCTCTAACACCGACGTTGGAGGTCAACAGGATGGAACTCCAACGAATGATTGCAGGTTCGTCTAGGAAGCAACTTCTCGGGATGGCAGAAATCTCGAACCCTCAAGAGCTCCAGGATATAAGCTTCAAACCTCTCCCCTTAACCGAAGTTGAGCACGGAATGCGGGTTGTATGGGCTCAAGTACTCGATGTCGAAGAAGGTTCAATTACAGCTAGCGATAGATTTTTGACCCTAGGTGGTGATATTATTCTAGCCCGTGAACTAGTCAGGGAGTGCAAGCAGCGTGGGGTTGGTATTTCTATTATCGATGTCCTTCGAAACATCTCCCTGGCTGAAATATGTAGGGGAGGTGTTGGTATAGAGATATATCCCACAGCCATTCAAGAGGTCTCTGAACCGACGCAATCAAACCACCCGACTTCTCCTACCAGCAAGGCGATTGTGTCACAGCTTAGAATCGACGGCAGCTTGATTGAGGATGCAACCGAGACGTCATCGTTACAAGCAATGTTCATTGAGTCCGGGATGCTACAGACTCGTGGCAATATCGATTACTTGGAGATCAGCATCACCGGGTCTCTAGACTGGCGTAAACTTCAGGATGCGTGCTTTATGTTAACCGACTCTCATCCCATACTCAGAACCGCGTTTGCCAGTCATAGTCGTCAACTCTACCAAGCCGTCTATCGGTCGCATCGTCCGGAATTTCTAAGATATCAGTGCCAGAGCTGGAGACTCGGCAATCTGACCGCAAAGCTTATCAAGAGGGAACAAGCACAGCTTGTTGATTTCAGCCAGCCCGTCACCAAGTTTTCCTACTTCGACGCCGGGAAGAGCTCTGTCCTCATTATACGACTCTCCAGAGCTCAGTATGATGAACTTTCCTTACCTAGGCTTGTTCGAGACTTGACTCAGTTTTACAATCACAGCGATCGACCTGTCCGACGTCCTGGTTTCTGCGAAGTAGTCAGAGCTTCTCATCGCGCGCACTCAAATAGTACAGTCGAATACTGGCGTACTCTACTCGAAGGCGCAGCAGTGACGCAAATAATACCACAGCCCTCGCCTGCGAAAGTCAGCTTAAATCACACTACTCTTCACCGAAAAATCCCTACCAGGTCACTACATAGCTTAGGTATATCATTCGAGACGATCCTGAAGGGTGCCTGGTCAGTTGTCCTTTCGAATCTGTCTGCCACGGATGACGTCGTCTTCGGGCAGCTCGTGGACAGGAGGAACCTCAGCCTTCCGAGTAAACAAAACATCTCAGATGTTGTTGGTACTTTAGGTAATATTTTACCTGTTCGGACGCGATTGCCGGATATTCCGATCACTCCGTATGAATATTTTCGGTGTGTTCAAAGCCAGCATGTTGCTAGCATGTCACAAAACATGCAACTCTCCGATATTATACAAAAAGCCACTTCCTGGCCATCTTGGACTCGCCTCAGCACCGTCATCTACCATAAAAACCAAATCAAGGATGCTGAGATGATCGAATTTACTATTGGAAACGCTACGTGTAAACTAAATTACACAGAGATAAACCACCCTCCATCAGACATCTTTGTCAAATCATGCATGTTGGGACCTGCTAACGTCGATATATCCCTTACTTTCAGCGAGAAGATAACCCTCTCCTTCGCAGATGAGGTCTTAGGTATGCTTTGTTCGGTCATCTCGCTTCTCACATCTACCTTCGTGATGGAGCCATTGTATTTGAAAGGCCTCGGCGACAATCACTCAGCATCGAGAATCCCCCTTCCAGCACCTAAACGAGACCCAAGTATACCTCAGACTGTCGAGCCAGTCGAGCCCGATCTTGCTCGGACCGCCCACACCATCATATCATCCGCATGGGACGTTATTCTTGAGGCCCATTCACTCAAGGTTCCCGATATACGTTCAGTTCCATTCTACGAAATTTGGGGCTCATTGATTCCCGCCGCTGAGCTCGCCAAGTACTATACCGATAACATGCCCTCTGCTCTCGGTGTCGAACAGACCACTTATACAGCAGAAGAGATCGTTGATCACCCGACGATGATGCAACAATACGAACTAATCATTGCAAAACATCGAGTACCGCATTCCAGACGTAACAGGAATACTATGTTGATTCGCACACAGTCGGTTTGGGGCAGAAGTATACGCAGGTTGCCTCGCGTCAGCGTCGCACCAAGTGCTTCTGCTCCAAGGAGTAATCATAGACCAATGGGTAGCAGCACTTCTATGGAATCCATGACGACGGGGAGTAGCCTAAGCGATGATGATGAGCTAAAGGAGCATGGTATTTATCTAATCCACGGCGCCCGTGAAGCAAGAGGAAATATCCTGGAGGGGAAGCACTCCAAGGCAACAAAGAAGGGACCCTCGCTCCTTGGAAAAATGTTACCTAAAACCTCGGGCTAAATTTCTACTTTCTCTTTTTTTTAGGGGAGATTGAAATCTTCGGATGGTTATTTGGGCCGCATTATGGAATATACAGTTATCTGGACGGGTGGCGTCCAGGTTCTGAGATAACTACCGACAAGAACAATATTTTGATGGCTGTTTAGAATAAATCCTTAGATACCTATGCTTAAGCTAGATACCAATGAAATTTCTTTATTAATTTCCACACAAGATTGAATTCATAACCACGTGGGTAGCGCAGGCTTAATGAAAGTCTATGATAATTCCCAATACTAAACGGGAATATTAATGTGATCCGGTCTATCTTCCTCACCTCCAATCACCTACTCTAACATACTGCTAATAAACTTCTAACCAACCCTATCTTACTAAACCTACCAACTGTTCGATAGGTCCGGTTAGCCCAGATCGTCATAAACCTACCTAAACTACCAGAAATTCTCCCTTATGAACCATCCATCTCTAACAGTATAGTATAAAGGAACCTGCCGATATATTTTCTGCTGGCAGATTTCCTCAGCCCTCCTAGACATCTTGCAAGTAATACAAGTCTCGTAGCTCAAGACAACATCTCGTTGTTGTGTAACCTTCATACAACTTTCCGTCGCGGCTTTGGCACACGACCTCAAGACTACTCGATGATTAAACTCATGTTGACACTCATAGCAATGATACCACTCTATATATCTCACACACATTCTCAATCTTGGATATTTACTGATTGGTCACTTCTGGCGTAATAATGCGAGTCCTATTGGCGAGTGACGGAAGTAGCTGATAAGTGGGTGATGGATGCCGATGTTGACTACATACATTTCTTGGAAGCAATGGAATGTTATAACATCTTAAAGTCCTTTCTGCAACACACTCATTGTGAGAAATCATATCTAGCTAGAAAGAAAGATAATAATAAAATCGATACCTACGATCAAATCGTTTCATCCTTTGTTTTAGTCACTTTATTGTTCAACTGGGTACAACAATGACCGTTTATAGTTGTATATGCTATTAGTTGCCCACCTAAGTGCTTAAACCAAGGGGGGGAAACCAGCAAAGTAATTTCTGTTGGCCTAAATCGCTAAATGTTCGTGTGTCAGACACTAAAGGGTACAATGTAGATAGAATATAGGTAACTTATCCTTAACTACATGAAACTCAAAGATTAGGGGAATAGGTCGGGTTATACGTGCCCCTGTATTGAGATGACGTCTCGTACCTTCGTTTTCATCACAAGGAAATCGTGTTTGGGGAGCCTTCGGAAAGTTATATTCCTAAACTATCTGAGAGTTAATGGCATATCACACTCAAAGTGCCGATAGACATTTGAGTAGGTAGAGGGGAACTCTTCTTTATTAAGCTACGTATAATATGGGTTCGTCCAAGTTTCAATTCCCTTTGTTTAGAAACAATCTATATTATACCTATGCGGACAAAGGTCCTTTATTCGATGACCTGATACTTTTATATCATCATACACCTACTTCGTACGGCCCTGAGACTGTCTCGAGGTGTCGTATGAACCTTCTTGCGAAAACCGTGATCGACGACAACGGACGGGGAAGAAATATCGAAACTGGTCCATTAAAACGGCCCTTTGATCATTTAATAAGACAGCTCCTTAACCGATGAATCCGAATGTATCTCTCCAAGCCCCCACCCTCCTGTAGCCGACAGCACCAATTACCACGACCCGCTGAGAAGGAGACGGGAGAAGCTATCGGAGATAACTATGGCTGGCTCGTTCTTGCGAAAGAGAACATTAGACGAGAACTTGAGGGGTCAAAGATGGAGCTCGAACTCGTCAGAGACTTGCTGAGCGAGCTAGAGGTCGGCTCTAAAATAAGGCGATCTAACCTCGGAGCTAGGGATCAGGTGTTCCTTATGAGGGCCTGCCAGGAATATTCCGGCTCGAGATCCTGTATGCTCGAAGAACGACTGCGACAGATCGATTTATGGTTGGGCGATGTACGTATAGGTCGAGATGTTCCTCATAGAGTGCCAGATGAGTATGTCGCACCCAACGAGATTATCCTGATAGAAATCTCCCCGGTAGATGATTACATCAACGAGAATATCTTTTTTTTCCAAGTCACGTTTTTCTTATTTCTCTTTACTTCTTGCGATCTAAACATCTATATCTACTAATTGTATTCATATAGATGGAGTATGGTTGATATTGAATGGCGACAATGGTTAAGCGAACAAGTGGCGCCACAGGATAGTGTGTCCGACCGATTCACTGCTATATCTTACCGGAGCGATGCGGTGAAGCTCTGGGGACCACTGGTTCCCATACTCACAGCCTATATCGAGCAGAATAGCCCGTAGAAAAGATGTGACTTGGGCTGATCCCGCAGGGGGATGTGGTCGATGGCTCACTGTTTGAGCTCGGGGACATTATTAATTAAAAAAGGTAAGATGCTGACGAATGCTCGGTGTCTACTTGAGACTATATTGTCATTAGATTAGTGGTATATGATAGCTTCGAGAGATAATGTGTTACGGAATGGATAGCGCGCGCATGCAAGAGTACCTACATGTAGCCTATAACCTATATTAGGTAGGTAGCTAGCTATCAGGGATATTTCTTCCGCGACACTCGAGGAAGCTGTTCTTATATGTATTGATCATCATTCACATCATAGTACGTCTAGTCATCAATTTACGTTACTTCCATGCCATAGCAATTGTATTCTAGTTACTCGAAAATAAATGAGAATACATCATCTTTTCGCTTCTTGCCTTGAGTGTGACAATACACTGCGGCCCTTTTATCGATACGCTCCAGCTGAAAAATATTTAAAAGGTATCACCGACTTTAGACTCTTGAGTGGCGGCCGGTTCGCAGCAACTGTCGTGCGACCATGTATGTAACTACAAGTCTTGAGGATTTGAAGCGGCTGAGTGGCTTTAACCTTATCGAAACCTCGAAAGGTCTATTATTTCTTGAAGCGCTTTAAATGAGGCTCTTACATGCCAGACGTATCCCAAGCCCGTGGGCTATATCACTAGGTACGGTATATCTGTAATGTTTGCTGCTCAGTTCGCAACCATTTAGTTACAGGATGCATACATAGTAACAGACCCCGGCTTTTCAGCTCCATCGATCGTACGGTGGATCAATGTAATATGTCATATGTATGTAGGTATGTAAACTCTATCCTTGGGTCGGTGCTTGGGTCGTATGTGGTTGTATGGTTGTAGCATGTATATACACGTGTATACCTCCCCACATCCTCCATAGGTACTGAACAAAGCTTTATCCATGGTGACGGCCAATAACCGCTAATACTGTTACGTACGAGAAATAGCGGAACGCAAATAGCCAGCCAATAAAAATATAGGCTGTAATCTGGTCCTTTTGCTTGGATCCTCTTCGCCTCCCTCGATAGAATTATGCCGGTAGGCCCACCTGGTCCCCTCTCTCCTTGCTCTCCTTGCTCTCTGTCAGAATATGTACGCACCTATGTACCTATGTACCTATGTACGTAGTGTCGATGGCCTACCAAAGGGGGAGGGAGGGGGGGGGACAGGGGGCAAGTAAGGGTCGTCACCCCGCGAGCCACACCGAATCCTTTTGGGGCATGCTCCCGCAATATCGGACACTAGATCACTACGCCGCACGTACCCAATGTACGTGCCCCACGGGATGAATATGAAGAACAAACCAGACTGCACTCGGAGTTTTATTTAAGGGTGGCCAACTCGGAGCTGACCGAGACAAGAGGACGCCTTACAAAACTAATAGACATCTTATGACTCTCTAGTAGGATTCTCTTATCGTAACGGATGGAATGGGGAGATTTGGGGGAGCAAGGTTTGCTTGCCCAATCATAGAAACAAATAGGATTGGCGATGGGAGTACATACATATGTGTGAGGCGTGAGAAGCAGCTGAGCAGCTATGTAGGTCAATATGTAACTTGGGTAGTGTAGTGATCAATGGTATTACATATTTGAATATTTTAGCGGACTGGCGCAATACTGGCGCGTGGCCGACCCAGTCTAAATGGCGTCTTGTGAGATTGGCGAGCAGTACAATGACTATGTAGGTATTTTTATTGACGAATTGTTCTGGAACAATACTACCTTGCCTACGAAGTAGCCTACGAAGTACATAGTACTACATGTAGTTATAAGGTAGTATCGCAGTTGTTTAGTAGGGTAGTTCTGCATAGTATTGTCGAATCTCTGACCAATCCTGGATTATACGTGACAGAACGTAGTAATATAGTTATATGAATATATACCTGGTACCTATGCAATGTGGTATTCCGGAAGTAAAGACGCGTTTCGGGGCAAGAGCAGCGAAGATATAAGGCTCTTATAGCAATGATCTTTGAATAAATCTGCGTATTTATCTTCTCGAAATAATACCACGTATCGTGCGAACTAATACGGTTGGCCGTCACATGCTCGAGGTAGACGAATGCTTCTAGAAACGTTCTGTGCGTAGTTTACCTATGTATGGTAGGTACGTATTTGCTTCTGCCTCTCGATTCGTAGTCTCTACTATATGCACATGTCCAGCATGTCTGCTTCTCTAAAATCTATCTGGAAGGTATATTGTCATCATCTTATAACTATCAAAAATTATTTCCAAAGGATCTGGGGTCCAGAAAAGCTGATCGACCGATCCGGCGGTCTGCAGGAGCTGTGAGCCCTCACTGATCAGCACTCGAACAGATGCGAGACATGATTGGAGAAACCCGCAGGGGAGAATTACTCCAACCCATGGTTCCCCGTTATCTAGATCGAGTCATTTGCTTCTCCCATTCGTGTTTTATGTCATGTAGCGTCCAATTGGGAGCGTTAATGAGCAGGCGAGGCGGATTTTGAGAAATTCTCTTTTTGTAGCGCTCTTCTCTGTTCACTTGTCTCACTTCTTTTTTGCCCGACCTCTATGATGCGCAGACTTACACGCGCGCACGCATAAATCTCCAACGCAATGTAGAGAAAGTGATGTTAATCTAGGTTAGATAGGTCGGAGAGGCCATTTCTTTACTAGAATCGTCGGAGCCTAGACTTTACCAAGAGCCTGGGCACTGGAAAAGTTACTGAATATCGCGCGTTATAAGCAATTTGTACTACTAATACGATACCGGGAAGAGAAGGTCAAGCCTTCTGTCGCCGGAGCTACACGGGTAGCATGTAATAGTATGTATAAAGCAGATGGGGCGGTATATCGAGAATGAACTGAACTGAACTGAACTGGCTAGTCTACCTACCTAGTTAGGTAGATATGCATGCAGCCATGACAATTGCTCACTCGTCTTTGTTAGCTAGAAGGTATGTAGTGATCGATGACCCGAGCCTACCTACATAGGTCAGCGCATAGGTCAGCGCATAGGTCAGCGAGATACCACTCCCATCCCACTTGACGAGTCGCCTCTCAGCCTTGGTCGTATCAAGTCTATACTCGCAGTAACTATGTGCCTCACAATAAGATATCGTGTGGCGCAGCACAATCTGGGAAAATGGATGAGTTCTTGGTCTTTCCCTTGTTAACCAACCAGAGTCTTGATGATTTGATTCTTATCTGCGCAAACTCGTAAACTGGGGCAAACCCACAAGGTACCCTGGTCGCCCGCCTCTATTATGCTCAAGGACGTTTGATGAACTCAAGCGGTTAGACGGTAATAGGTCTAGCGTATCGTTCAGAGTACTATGTTAGGTAGGTTAGTTGTATTCCCCGTTCCCCAGAACTTTAGATAACCTGCCCGTCCGCCAAGCCAACGTAAACATACCATGCAAATCTAAACCAAACTAGATACATAGACTAACCTAGGAATGATTCGGCCGCGATCGAGTCCTTGGCAACCTGGAGAACCTCCCCCAAGCTATCGTCAATGAGGAAGCTGTGCCACCGTTGCCATACAGCCATAGTATAAGTCTAGAAGCCAGTCGTTGATTAAAATTTACGAGAACGATGGAATATCCAAGTCTTTTGGAATTATCTTAAGGGTACCTATGTAAGGTAGGTCGAGCTGAGATCTAACGCGTAAACGAGCATTGGTCAATAATGTACAACCTAAAAATCCTTTTCGGCCCGGAGGCTAGGGATGTGGACTTGGACAAGGGGAGAAATGCTTAGAAGCTGATAACGGAGATAAAGCTCGAGCCGACTAGAGAAAAAGTCCCTTTAGTTTTTAATTATCACCTTTTGTTTCACGTAATTCTTGTCATAACCAACATAAGTTTATTTTAGATGACGCTATTAGCGGGTTCATAGATCGATGCGTCCTAAGGCTATACATATACATATATCGGTAGCTTATATGTTTGTGTTTTTATAAGAGGCAGGTTATGTAGGTAGGTATGTATCTAGGGTATTTACATGCACGCTTCGCATATGTACAAGCTAACTGGATAAGCATGATGGCGACCGTGTTTACCCTAGCTATCTTGGAGGTGGGCATGGCGAGTTAGCCAAGATGGATGCTACACATAACGCGAGTCGTCAGATTGCTTCCACCAAAGAGTATTCCATGGCCTAGATTTTCATTAGACCCCAACGGTCTCTAAGCCTTATTCGAGAACACCCTACATAAGTCATACATACCTGTAAGGTAGATAGGTATACATCACTATCTCGTAGCACTACCTATCTGATACAAGGTATTATTACATCCCTTAATTACTTGCCTACCTCGGTAAAGACTATTCCTCCTCTCACATGCGGGCTATCTCTTGTATCGAACTCCGTACCTTGCTTCCTTGCTTCCTTGCAAGATATGTATCTCTAGCTGCTTGGCCACCAAAAGCTTGCCGGGGTCCCCCATTCTGCACGTAGCCTACCAGCCTACTGATCCACCGGTCCTATCAAGATCCTTGTTAAACTAAAATGTAAAATGTAAAATGCAGAATGTAGAATGTAGAACAAAGAAGAGTGCTAGTATGCGCTATGCATTGCATCTGCTAAGCTCTGCCATTCAGTACTTATAATAAATAACCCCCGGCAGCGCACTCGTAAATTTACTTATTGTAACATCGTCTCACTCCTTTCACCTCTGTAATTCAGACTCCTGTCTCGAGCAGCGACCTTGCGCCCAATTAGAGAGTATATCGTCGCCATTCCTAGCCGGCTGCCGATTACCAGGACTGGGCTTTCCTCTCCCCTTTCTTCTTATTCTCCTTATTCCTTTTCCTGCAGCGCTGCTGTTCTACCGTCCAAAATGGTGTCTTCCGACCCTGCTGCCAGCAGTGGCAGCAAAGATGAGAAGGATGCTAGCCTCCCGAGCTACTCGAGCCCGGTGATCACACAGGAAGAGGGTGCTCAAAGATCCGACAACTGGGCGACACGCAATGGTCTAAATTTGGAATCCTTCAAGAAGCGTGATTATGGTACCGGAATTATTGAGCTCGACCGGAGCATGAAACCGCGACATCTGCACATGATTGCTATCGGCGGTTCTATCGGTGCTGGTTTCTTCGTCGGATCGGGTGGCGCCTTAGCTACAGGTGTAAGTCATTAGCATCTCTCCTCAGACATTGCCATTTCGCGTTCTTGTCTTGCACGAACCTTGACTCTGACCTCGATGTTATTGATAGGGCCCCGCGACTCTTCTAATCGATTTTTCCATCATCGGTATAATGATGTTCAATGTCGGTACGTAGATGTTCACTAAAAGTGATTTCTATACCTTTTTTCTACATGGTTCAAACTAACAACCTATTTTACAGTTTACGCTCTTGGTGAACTCGCTGTTATGTTTCCTATCTCTGGTGGTTTCTATACGTATGCAACTCGCTTTATTGACCCTTCCTGGGGTTTTGCTATGGGATGGAATTACGTCTTACAATGGGCTGTCGTCGTTCCGCTAGAACTCACTGTATGCTCTATCTCGATCTCCTATTGGAACCCGGATGTTAGCCCTGGTGTCTGGATTACCGTCTTCTACATTTTCCTCATCATAGTCAACATCTTTGGAACTCTTGGTTACGCCGAGGAAGAGTTTTGGGCTTCTATTTTGAAGCTTAGTGCCACAGTCATCTTCATGGTCATTTCACTAGTTTGTGTCCTTGGTGGTGCTCCCAAGGGAAGCTCATACGACGAATACTTTGGCGCACGCCTTTGGTACGAGCCTGGTGCATTCCGCAACGGTTTCCGAGGTTTCTGTGCTGTATTCGTCACGGCCGCCTTTTCTTTCAGCGGAACTGAGTTGGTTGGTCTTGCTGCTGCTGAAGCGCGCAATCCCGCAAAGGCCCTTCCTAGTGCCATCAAACAGGTCTTCTGGCGTATCACTCTGTAAGTCCCTCAAACTGTCCATCACGCCGCGTTTGTACTGGAAGACCTTTCTAATAGCGGATTGCAGATTCTATATTCTTGGTCTTACCTTTGTTGGTCTTCTAATTCCTAGCAATGACCCCCATCTACTCAATGCCGGTTCGAACGATGTGACAGCGTCGCCTTTCGTATTGGTTGGGCAATATGCTAACCTCAATGGATTCAACCACTTCATGAATTTCATTATCCTGATCTCGGTTATATCCATCGGCGTATCTGGTGTCTACGGTGGAAGCCGTACTTTGACCGCCCTCGCCCAGCAGGGTTATGCCCCTAAGATTTTCTCATACGTTGACCGAGGTGGCCGCCCTACATTTTCCGTCGGTCTTATTCTCGTTTTCGGTCTCCTCGCATATATCAACTTGGCCGCCGCCGGTCCTGACGTTTTCACTTGGCTACAGGCTTTATCTGGCCTCGCTGCTCTTTTTACTTGGGGTTCTATCTGTCTGGCGCATATTCGATTCCGCAAAGCGTGGGCATACCACGGTCACACCCTGGACGAAATCCCGTTTCGAGCCATCGGTGGTGTCTACGGATCATGGCTCGGATTGATCTTAGTTGCACTAGTAATGATTGCTCAGGTAAGTGCTATCTTTTCTGCACAGTGAAAGCCTTACTAACTTATCTCCAGTTGTTCGTCGCCATTTGCCCTCCTAAAGGTGGTATTAACGATGCTTCGGGGTTCTTCCAGCAATATCTCGCACTTCCTGTCGTGATGCTATTCTGGGTTGTTGGCTATTTATGGAAGCGTACCGGTTGGTTGCGTACACACCAGATTGACGTAGACACCGGGCGACGAGAGGTTGACTGGGTCGAGATTAACGCGTTTCGCGCGAAGGTTGCCGCAATGCCTGCGTGGAGACGCCTACTAAACCTTGTATTTTAAGTTGCGGCGCTGTGTTGTATATGTGTTTATTCTGTTGGACGTCAGATTGTGGTTACTGGCGCGTGTATAAAGAGATATAAAATCTAGGAATTTTGCATAATAAATCGGGGTTTGTCGGTTACTATGCATAATAAAGATACCAATACGAGTTATTACTAAAGTTTTAAGAGAAAATGATGAAATTATTTATAAGACTCACACCCATCGACTTATTGTTAATGCGGTGCGTACCCTTGATTTAAAAAAAAAATTCGCCGTTACGCTGCCACGCGCGACAAACCCATACCACTTCATAGTAGGGCTAAAGTAGAGAGGAACAGATCGAAAAGTATTAACTACCTGGGATCATATACACTTATTATTTAATAAGTGTTTTGTCAAGGATACCCGTTTAAGAAGCGGCACTTTTCAGGCAGACTTCTAACTAAGCTATAGGAGAGCCACGGGGTTAGTTGACATAAATTATAAACTAGCTTGTCGCTTAGATGATATAATAATTGAATTCTATAATAGTGTATTACCATAACACATACAAATATCAGTGTAGCTTGTATAGTCTTTCGTTATACGGCACGCCACTGACCAATATACTGACTAACATCTCCCGCTAAGGCATAATAGTAAATGTAGTTTTTGTCATTGTCTCAAAAGGTATCAACTGCTATGTAATATTAGGTAGGTAGGTATTGTACTGTTAGGTGCCTATCGATTTGTACATAGGATAATAATTGATGTAAAACAGGATATCTAGAGCTTGAGAAACGTTCAAGTCAACTTAATGCTACCTGTAACCTATCCTCTAGACGTAGTATGCACCATCTCCATCCCTAAGCAAGTCTTTTACAGCATTCCTTTACTTATTTACGTACTCCTGAGAATCAATAATTCAAGGGGACACATACTGATTGGACCAACCGGACACCAAGCCGCTGCACCTCCTTCCTAAATTAGACGTGATATAGTTCAATTCGCTCGCCTAACTGCATTAATACTTGCCTGCGTCGACGTATTCAAGCCTATACATGGCATCATCATCGTAGGCTGTAGAATAATAATCAGAGAAAATGAGTGGATAATATGCTTATACCTTAATGGCTACCTATATTTACCATAGTACATCTGGTATGATATCTCGTTTTATTCGATTATAATAATGTATAAATACGGAAGCGTTACATGTATCAATGACACGCCTCTAGGAATACGATCAACCATCCATCTGACCCGACACAAGCCATTCGGGGGCACCTTTGCAGCCGAATACTAAAAACATCATATCAAAGCTACTCACATTCTTATAGGCCTTCCGTTGCCCTATATTATTCTCCTTAGCCTTCATTGGGTACTTATATAGCTATTACATGTGAGCGGTAGAGTATCTATTTGCGGAGGACCAAGGCATTTATCATGTCTTGCCCATAATACTGAATACCTATTTATGTCAGAGACCTTATGAGGTAAGTATATATCATACGGAATTCTAGGCTAGTATATTCAAATAAGGCTTTCATAACTACTATTAGGTACCTTAATTAACCTGCGTGTTAGATAACAACATAGTCATTTGAGTTGCGATTGAAAACGTGAACTTCGTGGTCATCAAAGGGTCTAATAATGGTCTAAAACTAAGCCTATGATCAACACGGGATGGAATCTTATACTTTCCGGTTAGAAAAAAAGCCCTCGCCACATTTCTATTGAGAAATACTTCGGATAGTCCCCTTGGAAATACTCTGAAAACCCCCCCGCTATGCACGGCTCGACGACTACGTTCGGGGGTTTTCAAATACCCGAGACAGGTTTTGAGCTTCCGGGTCTCCACAAAGCCTTGAAATATATCCTGATATCGCTCTTCCCAACGTGTGTCACCAACTGATATTTCTTAAGTCCCGAGGGTTTCCGAAGCCTTATAGTGGTACCTGCCTCTTTTATTAGATGCCTTGCTATTGTAGCTGCCATGGTATTCCTATCTTTCAATGTGTTGAGGTCAAACCCAACTTGTGGGCAACATTATTAGCTTCAAGGGATGCGAGGATGGCGCCTATGCTTGATAGCTTGGCGGGAGAGAACAGATCAGTCACGATACTATATCCTTTTAATAGTAGCATGATTGTTTCAAGGGTGTGATGAGATACCTCGGCATATTTAATTGGAGACTGAATATTATAAAGATGATACTTTAAGTTAACCAATGCATACTGATAACTCCCATAACGAATAGTCTTTCGGTACATATAAGTTATTAATGATTCTATATGTATATTGTGCTATTGCTACTTAAGGTGCACTAAGACTGAACCCTTAGACGTAGTAACGGATGTAGCTAACTACCCTATACCACTATTATGAGTCTTCTATGGCATAGAATCTACATCATAAACTCATCCGCAGGGCTTGATAGGCTACATGCCATCTACATTGGCTGGGCTTTTCGTTAAATCGCCCGTGAAGATGACTACTCCGTTGCCATTAAAGGCTAGTAAGTTCTTGGAGCCTTTAGGATCCCCAACAACCCCGTCCGTCGCTAGCTCCCGTAGAACATTGATACTGTCGCCCGGTGTTTTCATTCGGTAAGGGATAACGCTCTTCAAATATAGGATGAGGCCAGATACATGAGGCGTAGCCATGCTTGTTCCGTCGAGAGAGATTGTATCTTGGTTGGTTCTAATCCACGCTGACGTGATATCCTCGCCTGGTGAGAAAATATCGACTAGTTCACCCCAGTCGCTGAAAGAGGAGCGTGTGTGATCTCTTCCAATAGATCCAACAGTGACGGCAGATGGCGCAGATGCTGGCGAATAATTTCGGGCATCTTTATTGTAATTGCCAGCAGCTACGATTGTTAATACGCCTTGTTTATATGCTTCCTCAACTGCTCGATTAACAGATTCTCTGGTATCCCCGCCTGCACTGATGTTGATGACTGATGTACTCTGACGATTCTCGGCGGTGATGTTGCGAACAGCCCAATGGATTCCTTCGAGAAGATCCGAAGTATAGGACCTGGTATTCGCGAAGATTTTGACCGAAACAACCTTTGCTTTTTTGGCGACGCCACTATAGGATAGTCAGCAATTATATAACCATTATAAACTCGATTTAGCTTGGAATTACTATGTCTTGCCGGCGATTACACCCGAGACGTGGGTTCCATGACCAACGTCATCTGCAAATATGCCACCAACAGCGTTGTAGCCCAAATAAGCACGATCCTCAAATTCCTCGTGCGTAGTCAACAACCCAGTGTCAAGTATATATGCGTACGTGCCTTCGCCAGCATTTGAGTCGTAAACATAGTCCGTATGGTTCGCTATCCGATGAGAAAGGTCAGCTAAGCCCCAGGGAGCGTCTGTCTGTACTGTGTGCTTCATTAGAGAGATTGTGCTATTATCTTCAATCAACTCTACGGCATCATCGCTGCTAATCTGGGTGAACGTATCGCCATCCATGGTACAAGAGTAAGCGTTCCAGGATCCAATGTTCCATCGTCTTCCCATTTCTACCACTGGCGAGCTGCTGCGGGCATGTATACCAGCTGCCCGCTGTATATGTTGTTCCACGGCGGAAGCGTCCAACCCATCTCTGAGAGTGACAATATATCGACTGTAGTTGTGATTGGAATTATCTGTCCCTTGAAAGATAATTGAACGTGCCGAAACAAAGCTTGATATGGCGGAACCCAAAAGTGCTAGTTTTCCAAGACCGATCATGGTAACTCTAGTTATAAGGGTTGAGCAACTAAAAGTTAGCTCTATAGGATATTTAATGCTATGGAGAACGGTCTTTGTTCTATAGTATAGAAGCTAGCTAAAAATGAGTGATGTTGTCACGAAACTGAACGATCGATACCGATGAGTAGCTGATGAAGGGGAGAAGCGAAGGGCACGAAATAGAGATACATGGGATGAGAGATAGAACTTAACGTTAAGAAGAAGAATGGCACTGGTAGGAGCTTCCTAGGAGGAAAGCTCCATAGGAAAGGGTAAGCTGAGGGTTTAGAGGCTGGTGGCTTCCGTAAACCTCGTTGGCGCAGCGTGCACTTTTACGGGTAGGGAAGAGCTTGCCGTACACAATAATGCACATACTTATATGCTATTTTATGTTAGGTACCTAGGTAGGTATATCTACCTCAATGGGTTGGTATATCAATAATTAACTGCTTTCCTCATTGAGCTCACATGCAGCGTGAATATTAATATATACCTGCATCACATTATCGCCGTGGAGATATATGATAGAGAGTAGACAATTGCCTACATAGTCTAGTTGGTGTCATCCTGTTTCTTTAACCCCTCATTAGGTAGGACTTTCATAATCCATACAGGCGTCTTTACTTCCTCCCGCCCTGCTCCACTTCCTGATATAGAGGCTCGAGCAATAGGCCCCAGTCTTCCTTGATATCCCGTTTCAACTTCAGGTTGGTTTTTCGAGACTCGACGACTAGCGTATCGCCGCCTTTGAAGTATGCCAAAACACCCCCCTTGCCATCCATACGAGCTGTAATACGGAAGTAATGCTTGCCTTCTTCGTTAGCTTTCCGGACCGGAATGAACTGAAGGTCGTTTTCTTGACACCAATCCTCTACTTCGTCGCGGAACGTAGGCTCTGGTTTGTCGATAGGCTGTTGCGGCAGGGGTACGGGCAGAAGTTTCTTGTCTGTTTTCGGCTTATGAGAGTGGGTCTTCGGTTGATGGGTAGGGCGTCCGTCAGGCCGAGGAAGTTGGTTCTTCGCTTCCGCGCCAAGGTCAAGAGCAGTCTCAATCATGGTGGTGCCTTTTTCAAATTCGGCAGAAACGCTTGGAAGAGACGAGATCTCATTAGGTATCGCCTGATCCTTCCACCACTCGAACCAGGCACCAATTTCCTCGTAATTGGCGTCTGCACTGGTGAGCCACTGGTAGAGAATCTCATGCCACATGGGGAACACTTCCGAAACTATGACTTCCCCTACTAGAGATGTAGAGATGACATCTGACCACTTCAAAACACCGTTGAGCATTTCGAGGTACGGTTCTTGGTCGCTTGGGTCGACGCGAAAATTAACTCGTAGATATCGGGAGAGACTTGGGAGGAGGTGGTGCATAACCAAAGGCCTCCATTGATCTTGTTCCCTAGTCGGGCGAAATACGTCTTTCCACTGCTTGAGACCAGGCACCACGCCCTTGGAAAAATCCCAAGCGTCAATCAGCTGCCTAAACTTACGCCTCACCTCTCCTACTAGTCCGGTTCCCTTGGGCTCCAAATGATGAACTGGAAGATGCTGAAGCCAAGGAAATAGCCATATATGCAAGTTCTCGTGCCTTTTCCTTGGCTTCCAGCTACTAATTCCAGCTTCGAGTCGTCTTACTACTTGCTCCATGAGCTGCAGACGGACGAATTCGGGTAGAAGCTGCTCCCATCTCTCGAAAAAGTCTAGGAGCGGCATCGCATCATGAATATCCCAAGTCTGGGAAATAGCCGTCACAAGCTTGGGAAAGAGTATTTGGTAGATCATGGTCTCCCAAGGCGTTGTTGATCTTACGTGATGACGATGTGTGCCATCAATTTCGGTATCTTGCCACTTTGTGATAGTATTCTGATTGGTAGTTTTAGTAAGGCCTAGTAGTCCCCGAATATCTGAGAGATCGGAAGCAAAATTGCCTAAACTTGGATCTTCCAGCGGCTGCCACCCTTGAGTAGCATCCCTTAGGAAAGGATGGATAGCGGAGACCGCAAGGGCGGCAAGCTCTTCGTCACCGTGAGTCGATGTTGCAGACTCGGCTTTCCTAAGCCCAGATATTACCATGTCCCAATCTCTATCATGAGCAGCTTGGCTGACTCCATCTAAGACAATCGAGAAAACATTGAGCCCTACAAAGTTGCTCTCCAGTTCATTAAGCTCCTGTTGGCGCTGGGATTCTTCCATAGCAAGCCATGCCTTCCGTTCCTCTAGACTTCTCCATTCTTCGACAAAGGCTGCGAGATCACCCTGAGCACGCCTTGCTAGTTTATGTGCTTCCGTTTGCGTGGCCAGCTCAGTACCAGCCTTAGGAGTTAATAATCCCGAACTAGACGTCAGTAGCTTTTGATCTCGCCCGGTGAGGTCTAATATTGGAGTAAAGGCTTCTGGAATTTGCAGTCCCGGTGCGGCTTTTTTAATATCGGTAACAGTTAGGTATTTCGTCTTGGGCTTCCTTGGGGTGCTTGCGCCGCTACCAACTGCACTGTCTGAGCCCTTTTTCTTTCTCCTCTCACGCTTTGCCTTTCTTTCTTCATCTGAGTCAATAACCTCCTCCCCTCGCATGCGGGCTTGCCGCTTTTCTTCTTTACGTTCCTTTTCCGACTTCTCCCTGACAGCGCCAAGGCCAACGCCCTGTGGACGCAGATTTGCTTCAATTATGCCACTTCGTCCCTGGCCCTCGGCACCCAGACCTTGCCCTTCTACGTAACCCATCTTCTCCATCATTCTAGCAGCAAAGGACTTCGCTTTATTACCACTGAAGGCACTCGACTTAGGAGTTTGGGGTGCTGAGGAATGGTCATCGTCGAAGTTCGCTTTTAGGACAGGTTCGTTTGCGGACGAAGGGACGAACCCTTTCCCGAGAGGTGTGCTCCCATCGTATCTTGATTTGAATTTTGGCGGTTTACTTGGTGTTCCGCTGGAGACAGGAATGCTTTTCGACGTAGTAGGAGGTGCCCAACCTAGTCCATGTGAGGTAGCACCGAATCCTAGACCGACTCCTGTCATATCCTCATCCTCATCATATTCGTCGCTGTCTTCTTGTATTTGCGAGGGGTTTAGTTTGGCACCTAAGCCAGGTCCGCTGCTAAGCTGTTCTTCATCTTCACCTTCATTCTCCTCCCGGCCTTTATTATCTTCGATAGATTCATCGTTTAAATTTTGGTTCAGGTCTTCCTGGCCAGCGGAAACGAATGCCACGTTCTTATGGCGCAAATCCTTTTTAGACTTCCACCTCTTCCCGGGTCCATCATTTTCGCTGTCGGACCCGAATATTCCTAGGGCGGCGCTTTCTTTGGCGTTGCGACCGGTTCGTCTTCGTTTGCGAGGGTTCAGGTCGAAGAATTCGTCGGCTTGCGGATTGGCAGAAGGCTGCAAGTATTCATCCTCATCCTCGTTGTCAGAAGATGAAGACGAATAGGCAGCTGCATCAGCCTTGGATATTCTACCTGGATCGAAGGACATGCTGCTGGGGCGGTTGTATGGGAACTTTTGAAAAAAATGTTGCTGGGTACATAATTGAAGTTGTTGTTGATAGATATATTAATAGGTATCTAAGTACCTTTACGTATGTAAGCGGCTGTTGCCATGCATGTTCAAATATACATACCTATCGATAAGCCACATGCATTAATGCGCATGCACTGTGCTTATGTAAGTACCTACATAGGTACATACCTCTGGATGGTGTTAATGAGGATATTAAATTAATACTGAATCTACATCACAACACTTACTTACCTGGTGATTTCGGTTATTCTACCTAGTAAAAGGTAATTGTCGAACGTACGATATATATAATATTTAGGCCTCCCTATAGCCAAATTGACATGATAATAACCACTAGATGGCGATGTTACAAATACCATAATGATCATATCAGTAGTTTCACGTAATAGAAGCCATCTCGCAATCTAGGTTATCCAAGTAGATGACATTCCACTGCGCCATCGTACTTTGGAGAATACTCTGAAGAAAACGGGCTAGACTATCAATTTTTCTTAACGCGTTCCATCCATTCCTTGGTCCCTTTGGTACCCTCATGAGCTTTTCTAAACAGCTTCCTCTCCCACTCTTCTAACCCTCTCAAGAATTCTTCGCCAGTGCCGACGCCCATATCCTCGGTAGCGCCAGCTTTCCTAGCGTGGAGGGCGATATCAGTGGCTCTCGTAACGAAGGTCCTCCGGAGGATTGCGCATATCTCCCCTTCTTCGAAGACGTCGAGCATGCGGGTTCCGAGGCCGTAGAAATTCTGGGATTGATCGCGGAGAGGTACGGCTCGGGGATCGGCTTTTAAGGCAGACATGACCTCATTGGATAGCGAAGAAGGGAGGTCGAGGGAGACAAACGAACTTGAACCTTCTTCTGAACTGCTTGGCGACTTACTCGTGAGAGCAAGAGGTTCGGCAAGCCATAGGGGCAGGCCGACCGAGGTACCAGTCTTTAACGGTTGCGAAGGGTTGTTGTCGAGATAGCCGAGTTCGGGTACCTCGAGCTCGAACTTACAAGGAACTTTCTTGTGGGGGGTTAGTTGGAGAATAAAGAAAGAGGGTACAGAAGAGGGGACTTGAGTCTTGGACTTACTTCAGCATCGGTAAGTATCGCATCTATGTCGTAATAGGACATGTTGTGCGTATACTCTTAGAAGTGGATGGAAGATGCTTCTTCATTCTCTAGCAACTTCTTGGTGGGAGATCTCGGTAAACTAACCTACCTACCTACCTACCTACCTATGTATATATGGTTATGCACTTATTAGTTGTACTTATTAGAACATTGAAGCTGTTGGTGGGGCAAGACGCGCTTTTTACGTGCCATGCCAACATGCATCTTGCTTCATGTAGTAGCTCTAACTGTTCGTGAACACTGTGCGGCACCGTATTTAAAGTTTAAAGTGCAAAAAGTGCAAAACAGGTAGTGCCCATATGAGGTAACGTGAAAGTAATTCCAGATAACTAACGGAATACTGATTGAAAGTTTGCTGCATTAGGCCCGATAGCTCCTATGCCCCGCAGTTGACAGTTCGGACATAGGTAGCTTCCTCGGTCTCTTGTAACTGATAGAACATTCAAGTAACTAAGAGGTACTTACAGGTAGTTGACATCATTCCCGGCTGTAGTATCGCAACGTAAATGGCTGGGTTGTTTCCGGTCCGGCAGCAGCAGGGCCGAGATATCTCTATAACAGTTTCCAGCAGTTTCCTTTACACGATTTTTTTCTTTCTCTCTACCAAATTTACCAGTCTTCACTCTTCACTTCTAATTAGCTATAAGTGCAAACCACACAAGATTTAGGACCTACAGAATAGCGCAATTCAAGATGGCGACAACACTATTCCGAACAGCTCCTACTGTAAGAGCAGCTTTGCGCGCCAGCTCCATGAAACCCGGCGTCGCCGCGCTAACCAGCACCTCTTTCGTCAGAGGCAAGGCAACCTTGCCCGACCTCTCGTGTACGCAGCATACCAATTATTCATCATGTGCAAGTTCAATTAGCTAATACCAGCTGCGCAGACGACTATGGCGCACTTGAACCCTACATTTCCGGAAAGATTATGGAGCTCCACCACAAGGGCCACCACCAGACCTATGTCAACGGCCTAAACAGCGCATTAGAGACCATTGAAGAAGCCAAGGCCAAGGGCGACGATATCCAAGCAGCCGCTACTGCTCCCCTGCTCAACTTTCACGGTGGCGGACACAAGAATCACACTCTGTTCTGGGAGAACCTAGCTCCGAACAATAAAGGAGGCGGTGGTGAGCCCGAAGGTGCTTTAAAGTCCGCCATCGACAAGGACTTCGGCTCCTTCGAAACCCTCCAGAAGCAGATTAACACCGCCTTAGCAGGTATTCAAGGAAGCGGTTGGGCTTGGCTGGTCAAGGACAAGTCTGCCGGCACCTTACAGGTTATTACCAAAGCAAACCAGGACCCGGTCATTGGAAACCAAGTCCCGCTACTAGGTATTGACGCTTGGGAACATGCCTACTACTTGCAATACCAGAACCGTAAGGCCGAGTACTTCAATGCCATCTGGAATGTCATTAACTGGGGTGCCGTGGCTAAGAGGTTGGAGAAGGCGTAGAGCGTGGCAGCTTTACTGTAGATAACGAAACGAAACGAAACGAAACGAAACGAAACGGCAAACTTAAGCCCTTGTTACGTGTGAATTTAATAGGAAATAATATGCTGGGTACGAGAGCTTATGAGCGAGTCTAAGCAGGTATTGAGCTAGTATATTTATCAATAAGTACAATTGTCTCAATGGAACGGCTAAGCATGATGTTCATTCGTTTGTTTCATCGTTATTAAAGCTGAAAAGCTATTGCCTGCCCTTAGACGGTCGAAACACATTTTTCTAGACACATGTTTTCGTCTGAACGCGATCATGAGGTTAAAGCAAAGAGCGGAAAATTACATTAGTGATGCAGCAGTCTCCAGACTATGCATTTGAAATCCTCACCTGTGGTCTATAGCAAATAGATATCCTTCCGAAAACACCGGTCGCATAAACACCGCCGGCCTATATTAAAAATTACAAGTCGAAATTACCTGTCCCCTCCTATTAGCCTCCAAGCCGAGATTCCTCATGCAAGACTCCTCCAACGGTAATCATGTTTATCGAAGTTTGAGCTTGGTGTAAGATGTTAAAGTAAGGTCGTGACAGGTAAGTATATGTTGATGATTTCGTTTATATTATATCTTTTTTCGGGTTTTTGCTGCGATCAGCTATAATCTGCTCAGTGAGCTCTGCACACACTATTTATATACATACATTAGCATGCTATTATCAAACGTGGACAAATAAACAGAAAGAGCAGCTGGCCAGTAAATAAAGAGGAAATGTTAGTATAAGGGGTCTCAACTTACGCTTCTTGATACTGGTACCACTGAGTAGCTTGATCACAGATACATCTTTACCAATTGCTTTGAAGATCCATCCGCGAATCTCAACTGCAGCGAGCGAGTCTACGCCCAGTTCAGAAATACTCTGGTTCGGACATATGGCCTCTATGGGTAGCTGGAGGAGCGTCTGCAATCTCTCCGTGAATGCTACCAGAATAGCCCGAGAGACGGAATCTGGTTCTGTGAGGATCGCGATGTTATCCTTGAGGCTCATGCGTGTGCCTGTCGTGGCAGCAACTGTGTCCTCAGTTTCCTGACGGGTATAGTGAGCGAATCTAGGGTCCCGATGCCAATGCAAGGGGTTTGGGTCAGAAGGATCGAATCGGCGAAGGCCAGTCGTAAGGTCCATTGGAGATGTCTGTCCAGGACGGCCTGTGATAACGGCCTCGAGGAACATATGATGGATGTCACGCTCGGAGATTGGCGGGTATCCCTCACGTTCTAGGCCGGCGTACAGTTCCTCTTTCTCTCGCTGTAGAAAGCCGAGACCGTAAATGACGCCGATGTTCAACACTGAGCCTGCAAGCCCAAGGCGACGTCTCATACCTGCCAATCCATTCATGTACATATTGGCCGTGGCATAGTTTGATTGACCTGGGTGGCCACCAATAGCGGCGAAAGACGATGTCATTATGAAGAACTCAAGACTGGGGTCGTTAAAGACGGTGTGCAGATTATGAGAGCCAACAGTCTTGGGATGTAGAACTCGTTCCCACGTGTCAATATCCATCTGCGCGAAGACGCGATCATCAAGAACCATAGCGCCATTGGCTACGCCACCGACTGGAGGCATGGACTGAAATAAGCCGTCCCTGAATGTCTGTACGCTGGCGAGGTCAGTGACATCGCATTTGCGCACTTCGATCTTAGCATCGTAAGAGTGTGATAGTTCTCTTATCCACTTGGGATCCGTCTTCGGATTGCGACTCGCCAAGACAACGTTGCGGGCACCATACTTGAGGAGCAGATAGCATAGGCTTTGTCCAAAGTCTTTAGTCAGCCCAACTAGTACGTACGTCCTGTCTGCGCGAAAGAGTTGCTCTGTGATGAAGTGCTTAGTAGTGAGCTCAGCGTTACGATCGGCTCTCCAGTCAATAATGCGGAATAGCGACGATGGAATCTCGGTGCGCGATTGTAGGGCCGAGAGAGAGACGGCATCGAAGTCTACATGCCTATGCGGGTTAGTAATACTCGAACCTATCGCTCTGATAACCGCCACTCTCCAACCAGTCTTCCAGAAGTAGTCCTGCTGCGTATCAGCTTCGGAGATGTTGCCAGGGCCCAATAGAGTGCTACGAGAGTAGTACTCGCAGTTATTGGGGAGCAAGTTTGAAATTTGTTGTGATAACTGGGTACGTTCGTGCGACTGTAAGTCGAAGACAACCGCACCCGATGCTGGGAATATACCCTTGATATCCCTAGATGATACACGAGGATGTAGGAATAAAGGACCATGCGCGCCATCTTTCTCTGAATACGTGGTGTTATACCAAATTACATGACCCATCACAACTTCCTTCACACACTCAACAAGCAGAGGATCGGCATCGATGAGAACGACACGTCGTTTTCCAGCTTGGGTTGCAATCATGTCGGCTACCAAATATCTCATAGAGAGTGAGATTAGATGAGGTCCAATATTGGCGCCCGACCGGATGGGATGCACTTGCTCTTCCAGGAGTTGAACATACGAAGTATTGGCCTGAGACATAGCCATCACGCACTCGCCGGTAGCCATGTCTTGACCTAGGCATATATATGCCCTAGCCGAACTGTTGAGACCTAGAGCTACCACCGAACTGTAATCTAGCCGGACTGAGACCTGATTATGGTGTCGAATGTGAGTATTAGCATGTTGAAGTTTAGTATCATAGCGGACTAATCCACCAGGAAGGGCACATGGGATAACTTCGATAGCCTCCCTGAGAGTGTTGCCATAATTCGAAACCACGCGCCGCATAGAGTTGACCCCGTCATTCGACGCCTTCAGGGGCATAACACGAGGAATGATACGCCTCTTATTTTCAATATGGATCTCTCGCTCATCAACGCGGAGAGCGCTGGTGTCATCTTCATCAGTCATCATAAGGCGGATAAAGTTGTCGGCTACGAGATCCCCGGATCCAACAACTTGATCTAAATCAAGCATCTGCAAAGTTAAGCTAGGAATTTCAGCCGAGACTGTACGCGTGAATCCAAAGGTGGCAGCGTGGTCGGGATTTCCAAAACGTGCATTATATGTGAGCCACATGACCTTTATGTTGGGTTTGAGTAGTTCTCGCAGCCGATCAAGCGTCCGTTGTGTCATATTCGACATCAATGGCTTGTCGAGATCTGTTAGGATGATAGCAGCAGTACAGCCACCTGTGACATCTGAATCGGCATTATCAAAAGTAGCTCGAAAAGATACTTTATTGCACAAAGGTAAAAGACGTTGCGCTAATGTCTTAGCAATAGGAGTGCTGGATGAACCATTACCGCCAATGATAAGAAGGTGGTCTACGATAGTGCTGCCTTCAGTTCTTATTGGCTCCTTCACAAGCTCTAGCTCGGGAAAGGTCAACTGTCGGACCATGATCGAGTATCCCGCATAGTATGACTGATTGCAGTGCTTTGCAACCTGAATAAAGCCATAATTATCGAGAGCGTCAGGCCACTGGGGTGGCGTTTGCGCCTCGGCTCTATCACCCCGATCCTTTGAGGTTTGAGGTAGCAGGTATTTCGCCTGGCTTTTGGGGAACTGTATAACAATTAAGAAACCCCCTGGTCTCATAATAGCACGTATAGTTTTTAAAATTTCAGACGCGTGCTCATTTTCAAGTTCTGAAGCCGACAGTAAAACCAAATCGTAAATGTTGTCCGGTCCGAGCTGAGTCTTGAGGTCCCCTGCAAAATCTAGCGACGAGCGAATGAGTTTACCAGAAGAGTCTTCCAGTTTGACGTGCTGGCCTAGGCTCTGGGTCGTTTTAGTACCGATAGTGAAGGAAGAATACGACGAATCGAGAGCCGAAAGGACTTCA